GGTGGGTTCAGTGGAGTTGGTAGATTGAAGAGTTCTTTGAAGTGTTCTACCCACCTGTTTTGTTGCTCTTCAATGCTGGTGATTACCTCGCCTTCCTTGCTTTTCACTGATCGTTCTGGTTTGCGACGATTTTCAGAGAGTTTCTTTGCTATGTCATACAATGGTCTTATGTTTCCTTCTCTTGCAGCCTTTTCCGCCGTCGTTGCTAAATCTTCCACATATTTACGTTTGTCGGTTCTGATGCTCCTCTTCACTTGTTTGTTTACTTCCGTGTATTCAGCTTGTGCCTTGGCTTTTTCTGCTCTTGTTCGGCTGGTATTGATCGCTGGTTTCTTGTTCCTTCTTCCTTGAATCTTATCCAGTGTATCAACAGTGATCCATTCCTAGTGATTGTGCTTCTTGTGGCCCAAAACCTCATAACATTAAAGTTATTGCTTCCTTGATCCCTTTTGAGTCGTTCACTATGGCAGTTCCCCCTCTATTGAGTAGAAAGGCCTGGGACCTTTTGCTGGAGGTTATGTCGAATTTGTTGAGTTCGACAGTATCCCGAAGAAATCCTGTATGAAACTTTTGTGATATTGTCCGCCCAGTTTTCCAGTTCTTCTTGGATTTGAATTTCGTCTTGGCGACCAGCAAGTGATGATCTGATGCTATATCACCTTCTCTCCTAGTTCTCACCCCCTTCATCGTCCACCTGAACTTTTTGTTGATGCAAATATGGTCGATTTGGTTTTGTGTAGAGTGATCCGGTGAAGTTCATGTGGTTTTGTATATGCGTTTATGTGGGAATATGGTGCCGCCTATGACCAGCTTATTGAAGGCACATAGGTTTGCAAATCTCTCACCATTTTTGTTTCTTTCTCCCAGTCCTTGTCGTCCCATGATGTCTTCATATCCAGTGTTGTCCGTTCCAACCTTGACAGTGGAGTCTCCCATCGGAATGGTCAGGTCCTTTGTTAGGCACTTCTTTACGATTGACTGCAGCCTATTGTAGAATTGATTTTTAACGTCTTCATCGTAGTTCTAGGTATGCGCATAGCATTGGATGACGTTCAGTGTAATGGCCTCTTTCTTTGTCTTGAAGGAGGCTTTGATGATCCTTGGTCTATGAGATTCCCATCCCATAAGTGCCCTTTGTTCTTGTTTGAATAGCAATAATCGAACTTCTCGAGTGTGTGGGGCATTTTCTTCTTCATGGCTGGAGTACAACAACAGCTCTCCTGAGGCCAGTCGTTGTTGTCCAAACTGCGTCCAGTGTGTTTCACTGATTTCGAGCACCTCCAGGTCGTATCTCTCCATTTCTGCAGCAATTTGGAAGACCATCTCGATCTCCAATATTGTATGAGAATTCCATTTGCCAAAATAAATGGTTGCTCTGGTTGTTAGAAGAGGTATCAGCCTCGTGACTTTCGAAGGAACTCGACTTTCACCATGGAGCCTCATAACACTTCTCAATGAAGAACTTCTAAATCCCAGGGCCGAGTTTAAATGGTTTGAACTATTTTTTTATGGTTAGAGTTTATTAGCGGGTTCGTTTTCTACAGGATGGTCTGGGTGTGCCGCTTCGACGCCGTTCATAATTGTTGGACGGGGCGCTTCATTTTTCAGACACTTGTAAATAACTCAGTCAGTTTGTTAACGAGATGATTGCTACCATCTCTTAAGAGATCCAGGTTTAATCTTTTGTGCACGGTGAATAAGGACGCTTCAAATATTTTTGTTCTTTGTGGAACTCCGTCTCGTTTGGTGGATCAGCCGTCACAGTTTGATTGATGTTTTCGGGGGCAAGAGAATAGCTGAACTGTTACTATATCAGTCGATGTTTCTGATAGACACCACATAAAATTCACAGAATGTTTCACTCATACCAGGTTTCTTGCTGCCAGCTACTCAAATGAATTGAAGGAGTAGTCAGTAGCTACCAGATGCAGCAGCTTTTGTCTACTCGTTGGCAATGTCAGGCTTCTCGTTGCTTGTGCAAAGTTTATACAGTATTGTTATGTAACAATCTTTATTTATGGTCAAACTTAATGTTTGGCGAGTAGTCTGACTTGCTTGAATGAGTCATTAGGAGCCTATACAAACCCAGTGCTTATAATCGGGATGTTTTGCGAAGCCGCAAGAAACTTTAACTAAAGTTTCTATGAAGTTGCGCATTTGCGGTCAATACTCATCGATACTTTTCGATGGGCTGAACACGTATTGTAAGATTAGTGCAAACGAAAGCATGATCAGTCCATAAAAGTACTCCTAAAGAAACGGCACATCTGTAATCAGCCACGCCAGCAGTAGGTGTTGATGTGGTGCAGAGATAGGATGTCAAATAACACATCGACGATAATCGTGCCAAAAGTTAGTGCCAAACGGAAACAGGTTATAGTCTGCGCAAAGTTGGAGATGGTCAACATTATCTGAACTGAAATTAATAGGTCCTAATCGGCCACCTAAATCACTCATTTCACAGACGCCTGTCTGCAGAACATTTGACGGGTAATAAGAATAAGCTTTGACCACACCCGGAATGAAATCGGTTGAAGTGTAGGGCGATGACGAATAGAGATCGTGTCTCACACTTATTTCACCTCACTGATGCGTTTTCTAATTTAGCAACATATAACTCACTATACACGACGATCCAATGGACCAGTGTTGCTTCAACTATAGTGCTTAGTGCAACAGTAACGCCAGCAAAATGAGACGATGCCAGAGGGTCCCTGGGCAAGCGCACGTGAAACGAGCTCTTCGAGGTGACAACTGGGGACCAATGTTAGGACTTTATAAAAAATATAGCCAACCCTATCGGTTGTTTGATTTGCGTAAGTGTGAGGACATTGAGTGAAGTCAGTTTGAAAACCATACGTGGTCTCAGAAAGGCTAGTTAAGTATTCGTCTTTGGTAATAACAGTGAACTCACGACTATTCAGTTACTTGGAATCGTTTAGATAGTAAAGTCCCCAACACAGATGAGCTGCCGTAGAACGCGAACAGAAACACACACGAAATGGGGTAGAGGAATAGACAAGGGACGCGTGGAAAGATGTACTAAAGTGCTTACCATTTCGTTCATGTGTGCTAGGACACTGGCAGTTGACTGACAACGGGCTCACACGCTACTTGTCCTCTCAAAACACAGGGGCCCATGTACACCATTGGTTTAGGATCGGTCCTATCAACAGACCGCCTTACGTCCTCAGTTTCATGGAAACTCCAGCCACGAGGTCATTGAGTAGGACCTTACTGACAGTAGCTGTATACACATGGCAATGAGAGAGCAAACTCTCCCCACCCTTTGCAGCACCAGGATAGTTTGAGGCTATCGAACTATAACTATGAGGAGATATGCTTAGTGGATTCAAATGGCAAATAATTGGATCGTTATCAGGAAGCGCGTCCACCTAACTATTTTGAAGTTAAAATGACGAAATACTTAGCAAGGCACTTACGTATTGACCAGCTAAGTTACACACTTGATAATAGAGGTCTCTCAAAGCAATCCAACTCGTCCTATGACTAAGTGAACAATGACAATATCAGATACAGGGTGTCCGGGGGAGTTGGAAAGTCGATTGATAAGGTCGTGAGTCGTTATCTGTGATTAGAACGTTTCAAAACCAATCATTTTCATATACCTAGTTTGTCCTACTGCTACCGATACGTCTATAATGGGATTTGTCTTGAAGTAATCCCTACACATTGTGCAAATGCGGCTTATGACTAACTTACTAAAATCTCATCACATTGTCTAAACACAACGTTACCGAACAAAAAGTAAATATTCATGAAGGTAAATGGATATGTTGCAGACTGCTATGTAGTGGAGAAACAAAAATACTTCATAAAACAGGATTACACCTGCTTGGATTCAACTCTGTATGTTACACAGTCGATAATTTGACTAACATATTTAGGAGAAAAACAGATTCTATTGTACTCAAACCTAAACTCATGATGTTTACATTTGGTAAGTAACGATGGAAACACACAAACATAATGAAAGACATACCAAATCCGATCAAGTGTTCTTTTCGATCCTAAGAATGTATTTGTTATAATAATGAATGAACAAATGAAGAGGAAATTGTTCATAAAAACCAACAACTCTGGCGTCCTTAGGACATGTGGTGATACTATCAATATTGTGAGGTTACACCATTGTCTCTCAACATGCAAAATAGTCAATGAATACGAAAGCAACTAAAAACAGAAATCAATACATTGCGATTGCATAGATACATACATTTCATTTTATGTGAGAAATGAATCAACACTAGTTCAGTGCACAAATAGATCATTGTTACATTAAAATGAAGGGGAGGAAATGTAGATAGTATTTTAAAGAAGAAGAGCATTCAATTGGTTGAAATGTAATGTTAGACTTGACAACCAAATCACAAAATGATGATGGTATATGCATTTTGAATTGTGTAACGCTTATACTTTTAAAAATGATAATATGTAAAGAGAGAAAGCATGAAGAGCTACTTTTTATTTAGTATAGGTGTAAGTAAAAAAAAATAGGGAGAATAAGAATAGTGAGAACAGAAAAAAATACAGTGAACAAGGATTGATGATACATAATCAGACCATATCTGCACACGCTTTCCATGTTTTACAGACATACAGATACCAGCAACCATGTGTTCAACATGGTGCAACAGCATAAAACACAACAGGAGTGTGTTTAAGACAAAAGATCTTTTCAATGCTTGTGTTGATATGCTTATAACCACATACAAACTGTAAAAAGAACATAGTTCATAATCCTATTTATCGTATCACAGTAAATCTTTAATTGACAAAAATATCTAATTCAAACTCTAACCAACAAAATATGTTGCTGACTAGGATCACTTTCATCAAGGTCGGAGAGTTTGTAAACAGACAGACGGATACATACATATAATGCGAAACATTATAACATGATTGATTCAACAATTACAATCCATATTATTTATGTTATTGACTTGTATTGATTTGTTATCAGTAAAGTGAGTTAGAAACTATAATTTATGATTTCGTTGTAAATTAGTGCTTAGTTCTTCTTCTTGTCTTAGATCACGGCGCCATAATGTCACTTTATCTGTGAAAATAGAAAAAAAATTTTCTGACGAGGTAATCGAGAAAGGATGATAATGATAATTAGAGATGGAATACTCTATCATCAAATGAAAACTTTAATGTAAATTAGAAAATGATTAGGGATTTCCAGGCACTTTATTGTTTGTTTGTTTTCTCTCTCTTGTAAAACAATGTCATCAAACATATTTGATACTTTATTCTCACATATAACTAGTTGTATAATAAAGATACATTATTGAATAATAAATTCACTTGGTATTGTTTCACTTGAATCTGCCCATTGATGTTTACGACTGAAATTGATCAGTCTCTTATTATTGGTATATGCGCATGTACGCTTCGTTTTATTTAGGACTCGTCAGCTGGATGTACCTGGCATCCCAGGATTGATGTTCACTTTGGGACTAGAATAAATTACCGTTCGCTTCAAACGCCATCGCGTTATCCACTTGCTCGTACAATGGCGTGAAGTTGATGATGAACACTGAAACTAATCAGTCTCTTATTTGCATATGTGCATATTGCTTTAATTCAAAAGTATTTGACGTCTGAAGCGAACAGTACTGGGTTCAAGCCCCGGATTGAATATCAACTCTGAGATACAGATGCATCCAGCTGACGAGTCCCAAATAGGACGAAGCGGCGCGCGTCCTGTATTCCACTGCTATCCACTACCCATTTTTGGTTATAATTATTGAATAATAGTTATCATATTCCGACTACAGTTATACTTTATTTGTATAGAGGCCTATTTGTATTACTGACTGATTTCGTACATTGTAAATATGTACAATTGTTAGAATAGAATCTACATTAATTCACTGAGTGAAAAAAAATTGTATGTCATAACGATTGAAAGCCTTTGCTTCACTTGTAGAACTAGTCAGTGGTAGAATTATCAAATTTGAACAAAGTTGATAAGATGTTTAATTTCGTCTTCAGATAAACAACATAACACAGTTTGAATTTCCTCCATTTGTTGATATCATAGACCGTATTCAATCAGCCTTTATTGTAAAACAATAAGTTATTTAGGTAGTAACTTATACGACAAACTGATTTCCGATGAGTAAATTTCGTTATATTTTTTTGAACTGGGTTGTGTAGATGTGGTGCTGAAGAGTGACTAATGAACACATAGACAGATCTAGTTAACTATTTAATTTATGATCTTCTTTCCTCATATTGAATTCGACTCTGAACTAACTCACTGAGTGTAAACTGCTTGTAATTGTACTGAGTAAAATATTGTCTCATTTATACTCTGATTCTCTATATTTGGTCTTAATTCGCGCATTCTGTAGAACGATAGCCCAATCTGTTCACAACCTATCAATCGGAGTATCCAGTTCAGGGGTAGTAGAATCCGTTATATCTCGATAAGAATAATGAATGGTAACTTTTGAGATCCATTTATAGACTAATACTGTACATATATATATTTATCATATAATTGATAAATAACTCAACTATTCATAATCGTATTCCTCTTATAATAAGCTTTATTTTGACCCATAGACTATCATTATATGATTTGCCATTGTTAAGCTATACCCAGTCTATCAGTTACTGTCTCCCACATTTGGCTAAATCTTGTACAAATGTTATTTTATATTTGGCGGTACGATGTGGTCTGTTTGGTTAGTATATAAATCCAGTATGTTTGAAATAAATGATTCATATCACAGAGGCTGAGATTGGTGTTCTTGACTTAACAAGTAGGGCCAGGCTGGAAGCAGGATCGATAAGGACTGTAGAGTGCCCGTACAGGTTTTATGCGTCATTGGTTCAATCGATAATTCACTGCTCTCTAATTGGCGGTATCATTACGTTATACATTGATAGGGGTACAAACCCACAAGTTATAACACAATCTTAAGTTCACAAGTTCTACTATTGAAGTAAACAGTATTTATCTTCATTCAACCGTTATATCAGATGCATTAATTAACGCCAACTTCAAGCTTACGTGCTTAGTTCATTTCTACTTATTTTCAAAGATAATATTTATGATTATGCAACAATGACAGTGCTATCAGTCAGTCAGATACAACGTAGGACCAGGCACATATATGCATCAGTCCAAGTTGCCATACCTCATTAGCATAACAAGACGAACATCGGATTCATAGAAGTAGTTAGTTCAATAGTGGTAATATATAAAAGAAAGATTGCATATAAGGATATAGTACAGGAAGAAAGATATAAAGCGATTTCAATCCCATGTGATCGATTCTAAGCCATGTCACCCAAAGTCTCCAACCATTGGTTAGGATAGTCCCGTGGACCCCCAACCAAGTAGTCTGCATCTACCAACATGGCTCAGACCGGAAGTTAGTGACTTCATTGACTGATGCCACGTTTTGGTTTGGCCACCCCTAACTCTCCTCCAACCATCTCCAACACTAGTGAGCATTGAGCGTCGTGATAATCGGTGTTCAGATATACGTAAAAGTGCTATAGTATCACTAATAGAAATAATGATAATAATAAACTGACTGTTAAAAAAAATTATCAATATTATTAACTTACCTTTTAAAGAGGATAAAATTTTAATTTGTTTGCTAAGTAGATATTCTAAACGAGCACTATATTCTGTTACAGGAAAAGAATAAACAATAAAGAGAGTGAGAATAACAACTGATTTTACAATATAACACAAATTAATTTTCATGGTAACACAACAACCAATAAAAAAAATGATCAACTTGGACCGATGCACGTATGTGCCTAGTCCTATGTTGTAGCTATCTGACTGACAATAGTAAAGCATAGAAACGAATAATATAATAGTCTATTCATAACGGTACAATGAATAGAACATGAATCAGTAAGAAAATGGTTAGTTTATATGATCTATCCACTAGTAAGCAAACATTGGTGAAATATAAACATATAACTAATTAATGGTTCAACAAGGGTGATAATAAATTCATCTAATCACGGGGAGCAACGAATGGTAAAACAAAAAATCTTGCACATCAGAAAATTTGGAAAAGGTTGATAATGGCATCATTAAAGTATCAAGACGGTAGTTCAGATTTGTGCTAGTGTGGGTGATTTTTGTTCAGAAGAACAATGAAAGCCACCTAAAAGAGAACTAAACTACACTGATATTATAACAATGTGCCTGTACATGCGACATTGCTTATTTACGAACTTGTGATTCGATAATAAGATTATCGATCTTACTGATTAGACTTAAACTCTTGAAACATTTGTCTGATTGCGAATCACAAAACAATTATGCGAAAGCTGAAGTGGGATGATATAGAAAATATTAAAGTCGAAACAACAAAGTAGCTGAAAGGCAAGAGTTTTGAGGACTTCAACGGATATTTCAAATAACGGAAAGGAAGATCGAATAAGTATATTTTCACAAACACACAGTACTTTTTGAACACTGATGTCTCTGAAATCTTGTGAAATTAAGTTCAGATCATGTCAGCTAACGTATTTATGGAACCGATTCACAGTTGACAAAGAGTAATGCGAACATGAAAACCGAGTAATAAACGACGACCACAAAAAACAAAGGAGCAATAAATAGTCGTTTCGTTCTAGCCCAGGAAATCTCAATTTGCAGTCGTGCATTAATCCAGATTTATCGAAGTTAGAAATGTAAATCACTGGCTGGCGACTCAGTAATGAAGTGGGGTACCTACTGCAAGAGGCCTGAGTTCAATAGCTGGTGGAGTTGTGGTGTATTCTACTTATATCGACAGACATAAGTAATATGTAACAAAAATCGGAAGTGGAAAACCTAGCAGCAGAGAATTGAGATGATCGAATCGAAGAGAACGAGAACAGAGATTAATTGTTATGTCACCGAAGGAACGATGAAGTTTAAGACAATTGATGGATGATTCACGAAAGAAGTATTGAACGTATGATTTCCACATTTTGTATAAAAATACAAGGGGTTATCCCCGCCTGTGTTCTTGTTCACAACAAAGTCACCGAATGCACATCGCTGATGGACAAAAAAAAGCCATCTAATGCTTTCTGATTTTCAATAATTGTCTAAGTTCTATGAATTATGTTATAGAAAATAACAATCTCCACAAATCTCTTGTACTAAAAATCAATACAATTGGAATACATCGATTTAAAAATTTACACATAAAACTAACCTTCAACATCGAATTCCACTTGATTTGATATTTTGTATAAAGAATAATGTTCTTTAGTCCAATCGCTCATAGACTATAAAAATAAAATAATCAGATATAAAATTATTCGAAAATTAGAAAAGTTTAGACAGGTATTTAAATGTATAAAACATGGTTCACTATTGAACATTAAACTAAGAAGTAAGATAATAAGATTAATCACGTTATATCAGATCTAGGATTTACAACCCAGAATAGAAAAGTAGATTAATATTAAATAATAATATATTCAATACAATTACAAATCGTCACACTCAGTGAGTCCAGTGTAGAGATATTCAATGAAAGGAAGGGAGATCACATATTTAATAATCTTTAAGCTATAGCTATTTCTCAACGCTCAACCACTACTACACATCAGTAGTTTAAGCATTAGGCTTTTCAACAATCATTGGTAGATTGAATTCCGCAGCGTATAAAATATGGCTCAGAACAGAGTACATAAATAAGTCTCATATGATATCGAAATCCATGACACCACAGAAAATAACACAGAGAAACCGTAGTTATTAAAGGGTAAATTGATAATGTCAAATAATTCAAGCAACAAATGAACCAATTATCGTTGTCTTATGGCCGCTGAGACCCAAATCAACATGGCCAGTCGCTAATCAGAATCCGTTCCGCACATCCTATTTCCTTGATAGCCCAAGTGTCCATGAATTGCACAAATACACACCCAACCAGCAGAATCGACGAGCTGGCAACTAAGTTCCTCATAGGTCAGCAATTCTCTAGTACCTCTCTACAACCGACCTTAAGTCCAGAAGTACAATCCAGCCTCTACTATACTTATATTTCGAACAGGCGTGACTTATATACAGACATACCAGATCACATTACATCATATAATGAAAAATAAAAATACAAAATTGGCTATGAATAGGGGAGATTGTAAATAATGGGCTGGCAACAAATTAAGAATAGTAAATCGTACAACAGTAGTTAATAAATCAACTGAAAGCTTGTGATAAATGGAATATATGTACATAATAATCTAGTCACTTATTGATTATACAACAAAATTACGACTAATAATAATAATAATAATTCGAAAAAACCAGTTCCAATTTCTAAACTATTACTTTCATCATACCAGTTATAATTTGCTTTTGATTTACTACCCATTGAAATATTATAAATATATATTATAACATAGGTACATTTTGTGCATTCAATGTGCACTAAACTTTCTAAATAACAGTCACAGCAATGTATAGGGAATTGAAAACTGCAATTAGGAAAACATGATTACTTCAAGTGTATTTTGCAAGACATTGTAATATCTCAAATTTTAACTTTGTAATCTATGGGCTACTACCCTATGAGATTTGTTGTGTTGCAGGTTATAGTTCGTAGATATATGAATAACTTGGTCTGAAGTGCCACTTTATGAGTATACAAAAAGATTAAATTATCAAAACTCTGAGTTTGTAAAACAATACAACTGACCACTACCTTAAGATTGCCAACGTAAATTTCGAAAAATTACTTGTATACTATATTTAATCTAGATGTAGACATGTTCAAGGCAATTTTAGACTCTGCCAAGGTTTGTCATTGAAAAGTGCAAAGGCCCTTCAATCGTAAACTATTGACTGATTTAAAGCTTATGGTGAATTATTACTGGCATTGTTAGTCTCAAATAGCGTTCGACAGGGTCATCAACTGCCCTCTATTTTATTGAACTTTGCCGTAGATGTCGTCCGAGAAATTACACTTTCTTCAGGAACTGATCTTTTCAGGAGATTTACTTATCGTTTTGAGATATCGAGACGACATAGTTCTTTGTGCCGAAGATTCCGAGGAAATGCAGTTAGTCTGTTCATTATCTTGATCAACAATCCAAGAATATTTGAGACTGCTCTATATCAAAGCTTAAACAAATAACGAGTGAATCGGTTGAGTGCATCGAACTCTTATCTTGAAATTCTCATCAGTCTTGGTGAGTTTGGTAGCAGAAGAAATTTAAGGACGATTCAGAAAGTTCAAGTGCCTAACTACCATTTGACATGACGGGAGTACAACCATAAACAGGAAGAGAGGGAGACGTTTTTGATGGACGACCAAAACATCCAGCTCAGAGAACAAAAATCCATCAAAATCACCCACCTGAGCTACAAATCTTCTCCACCATCTCAGGAAGAAGTTTGAAATGTAATATAATTTGGAATAAACCATTAACTGTGTGTGATGATAAGAATTCGATTTCATGGAAGATATATATGAAGTAAAATACCTCAGACTTAATCCAAATGCATCGTCACACGATATTTCCCTTCAATTGTCAGCTACTTCATTCATCTACGGTGATTGAGTACAAGGTGATTCAACACGGCGTATACCGCATGAATGTTAAACAGTTGGAAATGGTGTTCCTTGTACAATTCCAACTCACCCCACTCCTTCTTGACTACTGATATGCCTTACTGACCATTGCAAGGTGGCAGGAAAACAGATTACACAAAGTTTCATGTCGATTGCTTGAAACCACTTATATTTATATATCCCTATAAAACCTTTTTTTACACAAAAGTTAAAATTTGTAATCAACGGAGGCAAATCAAGATTGCTTACATGACAAACAGCTTTGTGATCATCGCAAATTTCTTCTTCCATGCGTTCAATCTGATCGATAACTTCATGAAAATGAAGAACTTCCTCAGGTACTTCACCTTCCTATTGAAAAGAGCAAAACGAAGTACAAATAACACCTACAAAGGTAGATTTGCGATTTACTAGGATTACTAGTAAATAATCAGTATCATGAAATGTGCATTATTTCAATTACATTATATTAAAGTTGGTAAACAATGAGTAGCACATGATATGGAGTCAATTGATTACTTTATCTTCGCATAACAAGGAAAAGATAATTTCATGAAGCTAATTATAGTAGTAATGATAGCTGCCTCACATTCAATGTCACATGCTTGGTTGTAGTAAACAATTCTCAGCATAAAATATATGCAATGCTTAACCTATTCAGTTTAATATCCATTCAACTATAACATTTAAAAGGTGTGTGTGTAAAAAGATATTACCAACAGCTCTGTTCAAATGATATCCTTTTTTATTCAATAATTTATATGAAGCATGGACGTTTATTCATTATTTATTTATTTAAATACAAACATTGGTACAAGAAGGCACTAAATAGACATGCACCACGTAATTCATTCGATTTGTGTAAGAGCTGGGATATTGCCTGGGTACCCAAACAGAGACAGGTGGTTTAATTAGGGGGCCACACACAGAGCCTTTGACCAGGTCTAATCCAAAGAGTAGTGGAGCGACGTAAAGAGATGTAGTCCCATGGTAGTCGGTGACAAACCATTGATTCATACGCCGTTTGTTCCTTCAGCATACTGCAACCCATGTGCACCATTGGTTTGGAATCAGGGTTTTCCAACTCCCCTAGGTGGACTCTCGGTGTCCACCAACTCGGTTAAATCGCCGGATATTCGCTTTCCATTCTCTCAATTTCGTAAACAACAGTAAAGCTGCGAGAAGCCAATGAGTAGGACTTCCCTGATACTGATTGTATGCATGTGGTCATATGAGAGCATTTCGAGAGGAAGAGTTGGCTCTCCCCACTCTCGGCCGTACCAGGACATTCGGAGGCAAGCATGAACTTCGTCACAAACGAATAAATGAATCAGAATTATTTTAAAAAAAAACATGATAGAACCTCTTCACTGACGATTCTAGAAGTAGTAATTAGAAAAGGATCTTTGAACAATACCAAGCAAAAGAATAGGTTTTGTTAAGGTGTGTTTATTTTTCAACAATATTAAGTGGGAAAATTACGGGATATATACAATTTAAAATTAACAAACAAATATAAAATAAAGGCAAATTTTAAACAAAAACTTACATTAGCTGATCGAAGCATAGCTAAATCACCGTCACCGCCAGCAATTGAATTAACATGATTATTTGTTAATGTATCATTCTGCCAGTTGTTATTACTAAAATCATTATTATTGGATGAAGGGTAATAATTTTTCGACAAGATATTCCCGCTTGTTCCTACAATTTTTTTGGTGGAGAGAAAAAGATAACATATTACTAAGTTGACAAACTCACCTATATTAGTACTTGGAGGATTCCGAAAGTTGATTTGAGGAGGCACCGTGCCTCCAGCAACGGTACAATTTGAACTACGAGATGATAACTGTGGTTGATTAGTATTACCAGTTGCCGGTAGATCAGTATTACTGTTACCTATAAGAATATTTTAGTCAAACAAAAAAAGATGTAATATACCGAATAAGAAATGTAATAATTCCTAGTGAACTATAAACTTTGAGGTATATACATGCATAAGAACACATAACTCGACTCAAGGAAGCTTTTTAGGCATCAAAATTCTGGTAATAAATAGTTGAGCTCGACCAACTAGATATTGTAATCATCGAAATAAGATTTCAAACCTGAACACTTACAGGATGATACATGATACACTGAAAGCACGAGTGATTACTTACAATGAATAGTAGATAGAAGAACTATCTACATGTCAGTTAGTAAGTTAACAGCAACAGAAATCCCCTTAAAGTGGTCACTTGCTTACTGGTTAAATCAAGTCAACTTCCGACTAATACATGTTAAGTTTGAATAACACCTATTGCGATGCGCCTAGCTCAGTTCAAGTTAGCGGACAATTAGTGTTGCTCAAACTCCAGACATAGTGTCTGTTTTAAAACTATACAAACGAAACCAGTATTTGGCAAGTGAGCTATAATTCAATAATGTTAAATAACTTGTAATGAAGAGGACTTTTAAACAAAACAAAATACGTACTTGCCGACAAAGTTCCTGGTCCAAGTTCTTTCACCCTAAAAATAAAAGAACATAATGCAAGGAAGTTTTTAAAAATAACTATATATATATATATATATATATATATATATATATATATATATATATCAACAGCTCACTTGAGAAAATCATATCCATCGTAATAATGACAGTATTACATTGCAAAACATATCACAAAAACAATAAGTACGCAACGAATATTGTAATTAAGATACAGCATTATTACAGTGAGATAGGATTGCCTCAAGTCACATACCAGAGTAGTAGACATAGTAACAGTATCAGCAGTAGAAAAATATTGACAGAAAAATATAAAGTGTATAGCGAGATTTCGGAACTCAGATTCTGTAAGAAAGCTAGGAATCAATGCACTTATGGTACTGCAAACGATTCTCATACATTACACTGAAAGTCACTAGTGATTAGTTAGGAAAATCACACGGACCCTGACTAGGCTAATCAACACCTGCTTACATGGCTCAGTCAAATGGTCAATCACTCCTTGGTCAGTCAGTATCAACGCAGAACTTCGTACGTACGTATATCAGTTCGAGTTGCCACACCACATTTGCACAGAGATGCACTTGTCGATTCAAATCCCGTAGTGCTAGATGTAGTAACATTATAAGCTGTAATCAGAAAAATTAGGATTTGAAGATGTTATTCAAGAAGTATAATCCAGTGAAATAAATTTGGAAAGAGAAAAAAGAAAAGGACATGAAGAATTCAGAATACTAGAATTTGGGAGAACACAAAGAGTGGATGCACCTGCTATATTGCAAACGATTTTGGGTCATGTCGTTCAAGGTCTCTAATCATCGGTTGCTATCATCTCGCGGTCCCCAACCAGGTAGTCTACACCTACCAACATGACTCAGTCCACTTGTCAGTGACTTCATGGACTTGTGCCATGTTTTGGTCTGGCCGCCCCTAGCTTTCTTCCAATCTACTCCTATACAACAAAACATCGCACATCAAGGCAGTCGGTGGTTCGGCATACGTAACACATGTCCCAGCCATCTCAACTGATGAAGTTTCACTACGTCATCAATTGATTTGCCATCCTTACCTAGTACCCGTTTCCTAACAACTGCATTACTTACTCGATGGTCCCAGGATATACGAGCAATATTTTGAAGACACCTATGATCAAATACTAGTAACCTACGAATATCTTCTACTCTTACCGGCCATGTTTCACTGCCATAAAGTAGGACGGAACGAACTGCTGCACAGTAAACACGTCCTTTGGTTGATAGACGGATATCTCGCCTACGCCATAAATGATGCAAGTTGGTAAAAGCTAGTCGAGCCTTTTGTATCCGTGCTGAGATTTCGTCACACACCAGACCACAAGGGCTGATGAGACTTCTAAGATAAGTGAAGCGGTCGACACGCCCAACTACTTCACTCCCTATCATTGGCTCGGGTGTCCATGCAACCCAATCCTGAAGCAACATTTTGCATTTCGAGGGAGAGAATCGCATCCCGAACATGCTTGCATTGTTGCTTAGAGTTGTCAGAAGACTCTGCATTTTGTCAGCGTCTTCACCAAATAAAACTATGTCATCTGCATATTCTAAGTCAACAAGTGAACCTCCTGGTAGAAGTTCAACCCCTGTAAATCTAGACGAGGAAAGTGTTATCTCTAAAAGTACGTCAACGAAAAAGTTGAACAAGAACGGAGAGAGTGGATAGCCCTGACGAACACCACTTGAGGTGATCAATTCTGATGACAGTTCGCCATAAGCTCTCACTCTACCAGTTGTGTTCGAGTAGAGAGCCTTTATAAGGTTAATGTACTTCTTTGGTACTCCTTTCAGTGACAAACACTGCCATAGTACCTTACGATCAACAGAGTCGAATGCCGCCTAAAGGTCGAGAAATACTATCATTGTGGGGCGTCTGAATGTGTGTCTCTGTTCTAGAACCTGACGTAGTGTGAATATCTGATCTATAAAACCACGTCCAGGTCGAAAACCAGCCTGATTTTCTCTAGTCTGCTCTTCACTAGCTTTAGTTAGGCGTCGAAGTATTATTGAGGCTAATATTTTAGATACTATATTTGTCAAACTGTGTTGTAACGGGTGGACTGCAGGTTAGATGCGCAACGCATTATTGACTAATTCAGTGACACAGAAAAACACGTAGTGAACGGCCTAGAGTCCCGATTGGTCCCGCTTCCCTGTCTAGCCCAGCCAGTTGAGTCTAGAACGCAAGTCACAGCCTCTGAGTTATGAATCATTATATTCCAGACATAATCTATTTATATACCAAACAAGCAAACCACATCGTACCATAAAAATAGAAAGCAACATCTGTACAATATTTAACGAGTGAAATAAATAATGGCCAATAGGGAATGCCCATTTAGAGTCCAAGGACATCATTAAACTTAACATGATAATGATTGGTATATTCCTCAGCATACCTAACACCTTCCCTTTTTTTGAAGATCGGGATTTCTAAAATTTTCTGCGTCCGTCCTCCCCTGCGAAATAATGTTGGATCCTCATATACCCAAGTAACAGTTAGTCTGATTCTATTTAAAGCATATTTCCCGCATTGGACAGAGGGTCCACTAGAACTGACTAGACGATGAGGATCAGCGACACTAGATATGAGGTCATTAAGTTTTGATTTTTGTGAAACATATTCATCAGACCTCTTCAAAATTCCATTAGTGGATAATAGATCACTAAAATAAACAGCATCTATCAAAATTGTATTAGATTTCTGACCATTCTTTGATGCATGGGACACATTTTCTGGCACGATTGGTTCTTCTTGTGAGCTGGATGCCTCACTGTCTGTACATTTTTGGGGCACAGTGGGATTTGAACCCACGACAGGGCATGCTTCTGAATTGGACATTTCTGGATCGCTGGACGGATCATGAGCGACTGCCTCGTTTGCAATACTGATCATCAGGGATTCATAGAGGCTTTTGTTTTCATATTCATACGTCCTGCAGTCATTTCCGAGTTCAGTATGCAAGTGAGAAATTAATTCATCAATTTCTTTCACATCTCCGAAACATGGGAGATTTAGCAGTCGCGTGCGTAAATGGTCCAAAACATTCAATTGGCTCTCTCTGAAACGCTGCTTATCAAAACCTGCAGTCCACACGTTACAACAATTGGCGACGGGGTAGAGAAAATTTTCAACCCTGTAATTGGACGAGATTCAGCCTATTTATTTTGGCCAATCAGCATTCAGATTGATCGTCGGAGTTCTTGGAAGTCATTGGTTGTTATTTGATCACAGTATTTCTCATTACCCTGCTGATTCAGAAAATGACTATCATTCCCGATCAATTGCAGCTACTACTTGATCGCCAACAGCAGCGTTTCAGAGAGAGCCAATTGAATGTTTTGGACCATTTACGCACGCGACTGCTAAATCTCCCATGTTTCGGAGATGTGAAAGAAATTGATGAATTAATTTCTCACTTGCATACTGAACTCGAAAATGACTGCAGGACGTATGAATATGAAAACAAAAGCCTCTATGAATCCCTGATGATCAGTATTGCAAACGAGGCAGTCGCTCATGATCCGTCCAGCGATCCAGAAATGTCCAATTCAGAAGCATGCCCTGTCGTGGGTTCAAATCCCACTGTGCCCCAAAAATGTACAGACAGTGAGGCATCCAGCTCACAAGAAGAACCAATCGTGCCAGAAAATGTGTCCCATGCATCAAAGAATGGTCAGGAATCTAATACAAATTTCAAAGATGCTGTTTATTTTAGTGATCTATTATCCACTAATGGAATTTTGAAGAGGTCTGATGAATATGTTTCACAAAAATCAAAACTTAATGACCTCATATCTAGTGTCGCTGATCCTCATCATCTAGTCAGTTCTAGTGGACCCTCTGTCCAATGCGGGAAATATGCTTTAAATAGAATCAGACTAACTGTTACTTGGGTATATGAGGATCCAACATTATTTCGCAGGGGAGGACGGACGCAGAAAATTTTAGAAATCCCGATCTTCAAAAAAAGGGAAGGTGTTAGGTATGCTGAGGAATATACCAATCATTATCATGTTAAGTTTAATGATGTCCTTGGACTCTAAATGGGCATTCCCTATTGGCCATTATTTATTTCACTCGTTAAATATTGTACAGATGTTGCTTTCTATTTTTATGGTACGATGTGGTTTGCTTGTTTGGTATATAAATAGATTATGTCTGGAATATAATGATTCATAACTCAGAGGCTGTGACTTGCGTTCTAGACTCAACTGGCTGGGCTAGACAGGGAAGCGGGACCAATCGGGACTCTAGGCCGTTCACTACGTGTTTTTCTGTGTCACTGAATTAGTCAATAATGCGTTGCGCATCTAACCTGCAGTCGACCCGTTACAGCAAACTGATTCCTCTGTGATTGTCACAAGAGGACTTTTGTCCTTTCTTAAAAACTGGCACAATCAGTGATTGAGACCAGTCAAATGGGATTACGTCCAGTTCCCAAATTCTACCTAAGACCTCAGTTAATCTCATTGCTAATACTGGACCACCATCCTTAAAAATCTCAGGAGTAAACCTGTCAGGGCCTGCTGCTCTCCCTCGTTTCAGATTTCCTATGGCTTTTTCAACTTCGTAAAGGGACGGAGGACTTACATTAACTTGCCATTCAGGTTGACTGGAGATCGTGGGAAACCGAAGTGTGGCTGAAGGCCAGTTGAACTGATCCCTAAAGTGTTCTGCCCATCGATCCAATCTCCTGGATTGAGAATGAATAATATGTCCATCTTTCTCTGAGATTGTCTCGCTAACGGTCGGGTTCCTAATTCCGGTTTCCTTAACGAGTCTAAACAATTGTCTGCTATTACCTATTGCCGCTGCCTTTTCCATCTCTCTTGCTTTCGCTACCTACCACTGTTCACGATCATTGCGTAGACTTCTTGTCAGCTTGCGCTTAAGCTGACTCCGCTCTTCATTATGTTCAGAGCCAGGTGGAATGAGTTTTCGAGCATCTATCAGTGCGATAGATGCTGCTGAGATCCAGTGTTGCTCCCTAACTTTACGGTTTACCTTACTAGCAGATATCACTGCTGTTTCCACAGCTTTTCGGATATCGTTCCATGCTGCATCGGGGTGGGCATCACATACATGGCTGCCTAACTGTTTTCCTAGTTGTTCCTGAAATATATTCTTAGCTTGACTATCATTAAGTAGGGCCCTAAGAGGTTTCCTTGCAGCGTCTTTCCTACGTCCAGTAAGACGCAAGCAAATACGCGCTCGCACTAGAGCATGATCTGAATCTAAGCATGTGCTCCAGAATGAGCGACAGTCTTCTATCGAGCCCCTCCATCGGTGGCTGATAGCGATGTGATCTATTTGGGTCCAACGTTGGGACGAATTAGGGGGTCGCCATGTTAAAAGATGTTTTTCCTTATGCTTAAAGCTAGTATTTGCAAGGAACAGGCGGTTTTCTGAGCATAGCTGCAACATACGGCCGCCATTATCTGTTCTTTGAGCCACGACACCATAGGATCCACCTAGGTATCTTTCCTTATCGCTTAGTTTACCTACTTGAGCATTAAAGTCACCGGCCATTATTACTACATCCGAGCGCCTAGCTTCTCGGAGAAGGTCCGAAAGCTTTCTGTAAAACTCATCTTTTACATCATCTGAGCTGCAGTCAGTGGGAGAATAGGCAGAGGCGACGAAGAGACAACGACGAGTGTCCCTATCTTTTCGGATCCTTACTGTTCCGTTCAGTCGGACATTGCACAAACGACTGTCTACTGGGATCCACTCTAAGAGAGCTAGTTCTGCCCTAGGACTCAATGCTATACCTACGCCGGCGAGGCCACGGGAAGCAGAATCAGGGCTTCCAGATACACGAATTGCGAATCGAGTCGGTTCTTTATTTTGGCATGGTGAGGTCAAGTAAATGACGCTACTCGGATGCTGTATGCGCGTTTCGGAGACGCAGCACACATCGACGGCGCGGGATTCTAAAGTCTTAGCTAAGGAAGCCTGCTGTCCTATTTGGCACAGTGTTCGGACGTTAAAAGCTCCTACGTGTAGTTTAAAGCGTGGTTTAACGAGACCAGGAATAACGTTCCGTGTACTCGAATCGTTTGCCCTAGCGGTGCGAGGTGATAAAGAGACGTGAGGAGGGTTAGTCATGGAGATAAGAGAGGTATTAGGAGATGTAGGAAGGATTTGAATGTGACCAACTTGGTCTCGTGTGCTGTTACGGGTATGAGGGCTGGTATCACTTCCCGGCTGCCCACACCGTGGGAGGGTATTTCTTGAGGAACCTGAAAAGGAAATTGGATTAGTGTTGGTCTTAAAGACCTGGGAGCGTGACCGCAGAGCCCAAGGAACAACTGCTTGAGGCCGGTGGCGCACGGCCTTTTTGTGGAAGGCTTTTGACGTGTTAGCTCCGTTCTTCAAAGGGCCTTACCGCCGGAGACGGAAATCCGTGAGGTAAGGTGAGGTGTGACATTTTCAGGGTCGACCTTTTCTAACCCCACCCCTCCTTGTGGGAAGGTAGCATCGCTGCAGATGCTGGTTGTCTGAGGGAAACACCTTACTGCTGTCACACCCCTCTACAGTCAGTAGTACGACTTCGCCCTCAGACCTAGAGTTGCTGCTTTTAGTCTTACCGTTCTCCAATCGACCTGCCTGGCATGGTAGAACCTACAAAAACTTATGTTCCAGCCAATATAGCTCAGTTGGATCATCATGATAGGCAAGCCTGACCACCGCGTCAAGGTAGCAGCTTCGGTCGGGTCACTCCTTGGACTAGTGTCACAGCTTGGTTTGGCCAACCCTAGCTTTTTTCCAACCTACACCTACACTAGATAACACCGCTCGTTAAAGTAGACAGTCGTTGCGCTCATCCATACGGGGACTGTGTATCAATAACGAAACTCGTACAACATGTTAGACAGTAATTACTGATGTGTCCTTTACGCTTTACAGAAGTCAAAACAGCCAATAAAAAATTAATACGTTCCCAACTAGTCTTCTGTTATAAATTCTGGTTGCACAATCAAGCGGCAGTAACAAACTCTAGGGGATTAGTATATGTCTCTTGAAATACTTTGCCGATCCACTATTAACATCACTGGTAAAAGTTGATACGCGATCCGTCCAATGAATAGGTCAAGTAAAGTTAACCAAACTAATTTTCGGTACATCAGTCTTAATATCCATTTCAAAATACTCTGCTTGTAGCAGGATGTTTGTCCCATCTCCGAATATGGAAGGTACATTGTTATTCTTTAGAATCACACAAATTAAGTTGGAACCAATTCATCAAGTGTTTAAGAAACTTTACTATTAGTCTTTCAGAAAGTCTATAACTAAGAAGCCTTAATAATTTTGTTCATGCACTTTATGAGACAAATTATAATTTCATTATAATAGGGCGGCCTGCTTGAGCATCTGGGCTACCTGTTCCTGTCATCTAGATATTTCAACAAGTTATCTATTTTTGTTTGTTTTAATATATCATTACGTTTATTAATCGCACGACCTATTCTGCTGCGTTTCTGTAAAGTGTACAACCTTTCGTTGTCATAGTTACAAAAAACTCAATAAGAGCCAACGTGGTTGCTGGCAATATACAACGAAAAGAATGCACATTATTCAGATGTTCATTTACTGAACTGCTAACATTTAACTGGCGATCACTCAATATTTATCGCCAGGACCGACCAAGAAGAAAGAAATGGAAACTTGTTGAAATACTTTACGCTGAGAATTCTATATTGTACCAAAAATATAATATTGAATAAAGCAAATAATAATAATAATAATAATAATAATAATAATAATAATAATAATAATAACAAGTAGAATGATAAACTACATGTTTTTAAAAAATAACCCATGATATTAAAACAACGTGGTGACAATTCTTCTACGACAGTTAATCACATAAACATACGTACACACAGAACATGAGAAGAATCTTACCGATCAGCGTAACGTAGTGTATTTAATGTATGTTCACAGCTGGACATACCAGGTGATATCATAGCAATCATACACGTTCGAGAACGATCTCCAATAAATGAATCACGCAGTACTTGAGTTAATTTACTCGCACGAAAAGGTAGATGTGCACCACGCCGACCAAGAGCACGAATACATTCCTACACACGAAAAAAAAGAAAGATTTTCAGTAAAAACACTTTTCGTTGAAACAAAATGTTACATAGGAATTTTCACTAAACATACACATTAAAACGATCTGTAAAATCTGACAAATCATTCCTGTTGATTCATTCATTCATGTTATCCAGGCGCATTATTCAGCTGATCATTTAGAGGCTTATTGTTTGAGTTTGATAGTAATATGAACTTACTATTGAACATCTTAGTTAAATTTGAAGTACTAACATCAAGCTTACAACCTCTCCTAACACTACCACCAACAATTGGAATACGTAAAACATAATACATAACATGCGCTATAGGGCGGCCTGCTTGAGCATCTGGGCTACCTGTTCCTGTCATCTAAATATTTCAACAAGTTATCTACTTTTGTTTGTTTTAATATATCATTATGTTTATTAATCGCATAAACAAGTCTGCTGCGTTTCTGAAAAGTGTACAACCTTTCGTTGTCAAAGTTACAAAAAACTCAATAAGAGACAATGTAGTTGCTGGCAATATACAACGAAAAGAATGCACATTATTCAGATGTTCATTTACTGAACTACTAACACCTAACTGGAGATCACTCAATACTTATCGCCAGGACCGACCAAGAAGAAAGAAACGGAAACTTGTTGAAATACTTTGTGTTGAGAATTCTATATTGTACCAAAAATATAATATTGAATAAAGCTGATAATAATAATAAAGCAAGAAATCACGTGAAAATTTATTCAGGTGATCATGCAACAGGGAAGTCAAGAAGATGAAGGAGTGTTCAATCAAAGGTATTGATTAGTATTAGAAAGATACACTGATTAAGTTCCCTCAATAACAAAAAACAACCTTGTTAGCGATGAGGAAGCATTACTAGTACACTTACTAAACAAATCCTACATAATAAATGTAAGAAAAGGCATAGAATAGAATTGATAAACATCTTTGTTTGCAACGAATGCAGTTAAGTGCCATTTGAATCAATCACTAAAAGTAGTGTACTTAAACTACTTGAGATAACATATGAAATATTTACGTGTTGGCATAAAGCAGTATGAATTGATACAAGTAGATCAACTGAATTGAGCAACTTTATCCATCAAGAAGAGTCAGTCAGTAACAACGTAGAACTTCGTACGTACGTACATCAGTTCGAGTTGCCACACCACATTAGCACAGAGATGCACTTGTCGATTCAAATCCCGTAGTGCTAGAGGTAATAAGAGTATAAGCAGTAATCGGGAAGATTTGGGTTTGGAGATGTTATTTAAAGAGTATAATACAGTGAAAGAAATTTGGAAAGAGAAAAAAGAAAGGGACATGAAGAATCCAGAAGATTAGAATTTGAGAGAACACAGAGAGTGGATGCACCTGCGCCATTGCAAACGAGTTTAAGCCATGTCATTCAGGGTCTCTAATCATCGGTTGCTATCATCTCGCGGTCCCCAACCAGGTAGTCTACACCTACCAACATGACTCAGTCCACTTGTCAGCGATTAAATGGATTAGTGCCTTATTTTGGTCTGGCCGCCCCTAGCTTTCTTCCAACCCACTCCAACACCAGAAAACATCGCACGTCGAGGCAGTCGGTGGTTGAGCATACGTAGCACATGTCCCAGCCATTTCAACTGATGAAGTTTCACTATGTCATCAATTGATTTGCCATCCTTACCTAGTATCCGTTTCCTAACAACCGCATTACTTACTCGATGGTCCCAGGATATACGAGCAATATTTCGAAGACACCTATGATCAAATACTAGTAACCTACGAATATCCTCTACTCTTACCGGCCATGTTTCACTGCCATAAAGTAGGACGGAACGAACTGCTGCACAGTAAACACGTCCTTTGGTTGATAGACGGATATCTCGCCTACGCCATAAATGATGCAAGTTGGTAAAAGCTAGTCGAGCCTTTTGTATCCGTGCTGAGATTTCGTCACACACCAGACCACAAGGGCTGATGAGACTTCTAAGATAAGTGAAGCGGTCGACACGCCCAACTACTTCACTCCCTATCATTGGCTCGGGTGTCCATGCAACCCAATCCTGAAGCAACATTTTGCATTTCGAGGGAGAGAATCGCATCCCGAACATGCTTGCATTGTTGCTTAGAGTTGTCAGAAGACTCTGCATTTTGTCAGCGTCTTCACCAAATAAAACTATGTCATCTGCATATTACAAGTCAACAAGTGAACCTCCTGGTAGAAGTTCAACCCCTGTAAATCTAGACGAGGAAAGTGTTATCTCTAAAAGTACGTCAACGAAAAAGTTGAACAAGAACGGAGAGAGTGGATAGCCCTGACGAACACCACTTGAGGTAATCAATTCTGATGACAGTTCGCCATAAGCTCTCACTCTACCAGTTGTGTTCGAGTAGAGAGCCTTTATAAGGTTAATGTACTTCTTTGGTACTCCTTTCAGTGACAAACACTGCCATAGTACCTTACGATCAACAGAGTCGAATGCCGCCTAAAGGTCGAGAAATACTATCATTGTGGGGCGTCTGAATGTGTGTCTCTGTTCTAGAACCTGACGTAGTGTGAATATCTGATCGATACAACCACGTCCAGGTCGAAAACCAGCCTGGTTTTCTCTAGTCTGCTCTTCACGAGCTTTAGTTAGGCGTCGAAGTATTATTGAGGCTAATATTTTAGACACTATATTAGTCAAACTGATTCCTCTGTGATTGTCACAAGAGGACTTTTGTCCTTTCTTAAAAACTGGCACAATCAGTGATTGAGACCAGTCAGATGGGATTACGTCCAGTTCCCAAATTCTACCTAAGACCTCAGTTAATCTCATTGCTAATACTGGACCACCATCCTTAAAAATCTCAGGAGTAAACCTGTCAGGGCCTGCTGCTCTCCCTCGTTTCAGATTTCCTATGGCTTTTTCAACTTCGTAAAGGGACGGAGGACTTACATTAACTTGCCATTCAGGTTGACTGGAGATCGTGGGAAACCGAAGTGTGGCTGAAGGCCAGTTGAACTGACCCCTTAAGTGTTCTGCCCATCGATCCAATCTCCTGGATTGAGAATGAATAATATGTCCATCTTTCTCTGAGATTGTCTCGCTAACGGTCGGGTTCCTAATTCCGGTTTCCTTAACGAGTCTAAACAATTGTCTGCTATTACCTATTGCCGCTGCCTTTTCCATCTCTCTTGCTTTCGCTACCTACCACTGTTCACGATCATTGCGTAGACTTCTTGTCAGCTTGCGCTTAAGCTGACTCCGCTCTTCATTATGTTCAGAGCCAGGTGGAATGAGTTTTCGAGCATCTATCAGTGCGATAGATGCTGCTGAGATCCAGTGTTGCTCCCTAACTTTACGGTTTACCTTACTAGCAGATATCACTGCTGTTTCCACAGCTTTTCGGATATCGTTCCATGCTGCCTAGGGGTGGGCATCACATACATGGCTGCCTAACTGTTTTCCTAGTTGTTCCTGAAATATATTCTTAGCTTGACTATCATTAAGTAGGGCCCTAAGAGGTTTCCTTGCAGCGTCTTTCCTACGTCCAGTAAGACGCAAGCAAATACGCGCTCGCACTAGAGCATGATCTGAATCTAAGCATGTGCTCCAGAATGAGCGACAGTCTTCTATCGAGCCCCTCCATCGGTGGCTGATAGCGATGTGATCTATTTGGGTCCAACGTTGGGACGAATTAGGGGGTCGCCATGTTAAAAGATGTTTTTCCTTATGCTTAAAGCTAGTATTTGCAAGGAACAGGCGGTTATCTGAGCATAGCTGCAACATACGGCCGCCATTATCTGTTCTTTGAGCCACGACACCATAGGATCCACCTAGGTATCTTTCCTTATCGCTTAGTTTACCTACTTGAGCATTAAAGTCACCGGCCATTATTACTACATCCGAGCGCCTAGCTTCTCGGAGAAGGTCCGAAAGCTTTCTGTAAAACTCATCTTTTACATCATCTGAGCTGCAGTCAGTGGGAGAATAGGCAGAGACGACGAAGAGGCAACGACGAGAAGAAGAGACGATGAATAATCATGTACAACCAGGAAAAAATACCCAGGGAGAATAATGGAATAATGAAGTTAAATAGTGACACATTACATGAAAATTTTAAGTTTGGTAAGGACTGTGTGAGAAAACCTTTTACACAATGTGTCGCAAAACATATTTTAAGTAATATAGATCAAAGGACAACACAGCCTGAAGATTATTCCCAGTCTTAAGTCCGGATAAGAGAGGAGGGTTGTGTATGAGATTAGTTATCCTATCTCGCATTACTGATTACACAATGTGATGTTTTCTACTCAGTTCATAGTTTCTATTTAAAGTAGTGTCAAATATAGACACGATAATATTCATGTAAACAACTATTAATCATATCCGGCTCAGTTGTCTACACGTCATATTCGCACGCGACGGAAGGTCCTGGGTTATACTCTCTGATGTGGAGTCGTCGATCCCCACTGCTGAGGAGTCCTATTGTAGAACGGAAAGGTCACCTAGCGCTGTCAGGGTTTCAATTGTGATCTAACTAAGATCAGCTTGTGATTTTAAATTTAAATCGTTAAGGAAATGTTATGCTTATGTGAATAGCATGGGAAACATGTATGTCGATTAATACTTCACCAAAAATGGTTATACATCGAAATATGGTCACTTATATTATGTCAAATCAAATCAGTTAATTATTGAGACAAAGAACTAAGTCGGTTACCATAAACTTTGAAATCCGAGTTTTCTCGTGAATTGCCGACAAGTGCTAGATAACAACACTTACATGATAAATTGATGAACACTCTACGAATATTCTTAAAATAATATTGATATCTTATACATCAAACACAAAATGTATGCTTAATTTACCTTTAAAGCTAAAAGACTTTTATTAATTTCAGCGCCTTCCATTCGAGTATGTCTATCGGAACTACTTGTATCCACACCACGTTCATTACCGGCCAAATCAATAAGTGAAAATTTACCATGAATTTTCCCCGTAGATTGTTTTTTTAAAATCAACTATATTTAGAGTAGGCAATAAACATTTTATTTAGATAATCATATGACAATTAGAAAAAGACAATAGTTATTCAACATTTTACAACAAAAAAGATCAGTCAGTTTGTCATAATTTTCCGACTTTGTAAATCGAGCCCAGTATATTAAAGTGTTATTTTATATGTGTACACATTTGATTGAACAAATTGAGATTGATACAAAATATAATTTCCCAAACTTGTACATTATTGGAAGATTCTTAAGCTCATTGAGTCAGTCAGTCAATCAAACGTATGATGGAACCTAGCATATATGGGCATTAGCACAATGAGATGAAGTTTTCAAGAGAAATCTTAAAGAAGTAATGACAGCACCAGTGGTAGAAACGATTAGGTATCGAAGAATAAATGATAAACAAGTTTTGAGACTCACGATGTAAAATACAAAGAATGAATGTATCTACGCCACTAAAACAGAATCTCAGCTATATAATACAACATCTTTAACCATTCATTGTGGTTGTTGCATAGATTTAAACCAGATAGTCTGCACCAACTTAAACGGCTCAGTCCAACAGTGCCACGTCTATGATCAAATACTAGCAACCTACAAATCTCTATTAACACCACTGAACCTACAGTTTATTGTTTCGATTATCATTATTAAGCTATTACAAATGATAATCACTATATTGCTCAGTCACAAAGTGGACAGTACAAAAAGCTTGTATTATTGGAACATATATAAACTATACATCTGAATTGTATCGAGATTAGTTGGCTATGAGATAAACTTAAAGCCTTATGTGGTGTTACAAAAATGTTTACCCAAATCTTGCTTACAGCAAGATATTTCAGAGTTCCACAGTTCTATAATAATAAAGCTTCTATTGACAGGCAATAGAAAATATGTACCAAGTATATATATATGACAAGAAAAGAGTAAAACTATAAAATCCTAATATGCTTTACTTGAAAGACAGCATGGGAACGACTAGAATGTTGATTAGCTGATGTTTGACCACTAGTTCGAATATGTGCACCATGTTGTAGAAGTTTTAAAACACAATCAACTGAATTCACTTCTTCTTCACGTAATCCAACTATTTGTACTTGACCTTTAGCATCTTCCAGAACTCGAAGTTTGGCTTTCTTATTTAACAAGTCAAAAACCTGTTCATAAAAGTTTGAATGAAAGTAAACAAAAAAACAATTATGTGATACGAACATTTCTTATATCCTAACGAAGAATAAATGAATGGTAACTGCTAGGTACTATTTATGGATTATTATTACGTATATTCTTATTGGATAACTATTAAGTAACTAGATTATATATATTTATATTTCTCTTATTACAAGCCTTCATTTGACCTATTGGATATCGCGGTACGATTTACCATTCTTAAGTTATTCCCAAGCTCTTAGTTACAGTCTCTTACACTTACAGCCACTTTTGGCTTGATTTCGTATAACTAACTGTTGGGTGGTTTACTTGTGTATAAACTACGTATGTCTAAAATCCATGATTCATGCAGCGGAGGTTGAGATTATGTCCTGGAATCAAACAGACAGAGCTAGGTAACAAGAACCAATAAGGACTTAGAGTTGACTGTAGGCTGTTCGTGCTGTTTAATGCGTCATTAATTTGACACAGTGCCAAAGCCGTATAAGTTGATGTTCTGATTGGTGATATAATCATATGATAGTTGACGGGCTATATGACATAACTACACTAGAAAATTGAAAATTCTCCCCTCCCCCATAGCCTAATAATTAAAACGAATTCTCTATGGATATTTCAATTCATGATCAAATTGCATACAAAGAAAAAACCCTGATTTTATCTCCAAATCTTAATTTAATTGAAAACTTAACAACTAATTAAAATGAGGTTATATCAAAACACCACGATTTATTGAGATCACAAATTAAACGTTGATAAGCTAAAATTCCTCTTATTACAATTAGATATGTGAGACTATAATTTATGGAAGACCTTTGAGTGAATCTAAAGTAACTTTGAAGATATCCACCTGATAACTAGAACCAAATGAGGGTTATAAACCTGTGTGACGAATGAGAATTATGATTTACAGTTGATGGTTAGGATTAGGAATTACATTTAGGATTTTCATCACAAATCGACATCATCTATTATAATGTAAAAACCCTATTTAGTCAAATGGATAAATAAATTTCGCGCCAAAATCCGAAACCTGTTTGATTGGTTGATTCGTCCATAAATTATAGTCTTGCCATTAGATAGTAATTGTAGAACAGGTTTCAATTGATATAAAAATGAAACTTTATTTTAAATAATTCATCAAATCATTTTCTTACTTTGATAATTCAGATCAAATAATGACTTGATAAAATTTACCTATACAGGATACGATTGATAAATATACAACATTTGTGGTATTATGGATCAAGAATTTCATGTTGAAATACAAATAGTGAATACTGTTAACTATATAAGTATTTTCCAATGAGCTTCGTGGATTTATTTTTATTTATTTAAACACATAAACATTGGTACAAGGATATGCGCTAAATATATTATTCGATTTGTGTGAGGGCTGAGATACTGCCTGACTGCCAAAACCGAAATAGATGGTCTAATTAGGGGACCACACATAGAGCTTTCGACCTGAAGGTCTGGTCCACAAGGTAGTGGGACAACGTAAAGAGATGCGGTCCCATGATAACCGGTGATTGAGGATTGGTTCATACGCCATTTAGTCCCTCAGCATACTGGAGCCTATGTGCACCATTGGTTTGGAATCAAAGTTTTCCAACTCCCCTAGGTGGACTCGCCGTGTCCACCAACTCGGTTAAATCGCCGGACATTTGCTTTTCGTCCTCTCACTTTCGTAAACAACAGTAATGCTGCGAGAAGGTAGTGAGTAGGACTTTCCTGGAAGTGGCTGTATACACGTGGCCATGTGAGAGCGTTTGAAGAAAGAGAGCTGACTCTCCCCACTATCGGCCAGACCATGGGGGGGTCATGGATTATGTGTAATTAAATTTATGTGAATTGACGGATATTGCATTTTTACAATGAACCTATATATATATATATATATAGAGAGAGAGCAGTGAATACCTAAAAATTCCTGATCACCAATCCAATCTTCAACGCAGATAGGTCTCTTTATTAATCAGGGTAAATTCTATTGAAGTGTGAAATATTCATAGGATGAAAGTATTGAAACAAAGATGAAAGCAACACAAAATAAATTAACCATAGAATACAGAAACACTTGTTGTTTATCAATGTTTTACTTGAAACAGAGAAGTGCAATATCATTTTTTTATGAGATGGCTGGTTCATACATAAATAAGGTGAAACATTTGAACTGAGAAATATTTTTCGTAGTTGTCAACGAATTTTAAGGTCATCAGATTATAGGATCATTCCTTTGTACGTAATACCAATAAACATAAACATTCAAATAAATATGCTTTTTGTAAACACACACACACACGCACGCACACAAAATGTAATTTAATCTATGAATTCAATATCTATAGATAAGAGTTGTATGCAAAACAGTTACAACCTTCATTGAAATACACTCACACTATTCTTATATAGTCTTCTTTTTTATACTCATCTCATCTACTTGATGTTACTTTTTCTTGACCCATAGAGGTCAAGAAAATAGTCACATGGTAGTATTATACAGTTTAATATTCATCTATACAGATGTATTATGATTAATAATATGTTTATTCATAAATCAAAATGTCAAAGGTAGAGATAGAGAAACAGAGAAAGAAGTTAACAAGAATATTCACATTAATAATAATCCAAACAAAACAGAAAATCAAAATACACAGAGGAACACTGGTAACATTACATTTTCTGCAATAATTTCGTACACAGATCGAATGAGCTAAAACGACACAAGACCACGAATACAGCTCTTTATTGACATGTCAGTGAAAGTAAACAGATTTTCTTGCTTAGTTTATTTGGGCCTATGAGATTGAACTGTAAAACAGGAAAGCAGTTGTATTGATCTAGTCTGAGTACTGATTAGCTTGTCTAGTCTGTCTATCTAATAACAATGGCACGATAAATGAGATAACAGCCGAGAATAATATCAAACGACCATGAGTTCAAAACTCAGTTTCCCACTCTCATTCGCCCGATGGCCAAAATAGAGAATAATTCAACAACCAAACAACCTCTAAGTATACAGTTCAAATTTACGAATCACTCATACCATAAAATTGAGCAAAATCTCAACCACAGATTAACATAATTAAGAAATTATAATGTGGGTACAGTCACGCCGTAAGAGGAAGAGGACTAAGTGATGGATTTCGAGAGGTAAAACACAAAAATTTCTGTATCTAACAAAAGCTTACAAGTAGGGGAATACAAAGATACAATAGTTTGTTTTTAACAATTGTACAATAAAAAAATATAAACAATAACCTCAGACAGGATTGTTCCGAACATTCATCACTGCTTAATATTTATCTCGACATAGTAATGTAGGGTAACTGAAAGAATATTATCAACGAGTTTATTTCTCCTTCACTGTGAAATACTCCTTTAGGAATGATCTACACACTTATTTATCTACTAAAGGGTCGGTATACTACGTGGTCCACTCTACTTTACTTTAGGCCCATGAAACGCAACCTCTGAATGTATAGGAGACTAATGAATTACTAGGGTTTGCTAACACCTTTGAAATATTTCTCCTGTACAGTGGAACAATCCTGCTTCGGTTTGGGCACCCGGGCAGTATCACAGCCCTCATACATATCAAATGAGATCTGTGTGGCGCATATGTATTTGGTGCCTCCTTGTACCAATATGTGTTAAAATAAATAAATACAGTGAAACCATTGGAATATTAAATTGAGATGTAATGTTGCTTGATAACACCACGAGTCACCATCAATTGAAGTGGTTGGGACATGTGTTACGTATTCACAACCACCACCTACTTTGACGCGAAACGGTAACTTCTAAGGCAGATTGTCAAAAGTAAAAGGCAGTTAAGTGAAGATGCGATGTCAATAAATGAAGTCATCAATTGGTTATTTCGATAGTGTTGATAGATGTAGACTACGTGATAGAGGTTCCCACACGATAACTCTGATCAATCGTTGGAGACTTTACGTAAAATGGCTCGAAATCGGTCACGGTGGTTCATTCATTCGTCACCATACAAATCTTGAGTCTAGACATTGAAGCTACTGGATCCCACCCAATGCCATAGTCTAACGGTTAAGAGTTCACACGAGAGACTGAAAATCCTAGGTTCGATTGCCTATGATGGGGTTGTGGGCATGCACTGGTGAGTCCTGAAGTAGGACGAAACAGCTGTCCAGTGCTTCCATGTTTTTAATGGCGGTTTAGCTAAGACCAGCTTATGATTTGGAAACTGCGAAAATCCTACAGTCTCTACAAATCCCCCTATACTAATAGTAATCATCTGTTTATTAGTGGCTGGCTTTAAAATGCAATCCCCGAAGTTCTAGTGAGAAGCTGTGACCAGTGGAGTTCAAACACATTTTTGCTTAGTCTTTCAGACTATACCTAACGACATTATTTTGTTCCACCCTTTCGCCATCATCTTATCCATTTCCTATCATTATATCAGAGTGGTCTGGCAGCCTAGGCCAACATACATTTACAGCAAATTAAACATTGATTATGAATGACTGACTAAATATAAATGAGGTGTATAAACAAGTATGCATATTATGAAAATAATGAAAAAAGCATGGAATGAGTAACTCATACTCATTAAAAATAAGAAGAAAAAGAAAAAGAAGAGACACATACTTTCCCACTGTATATTTCGAAAAATGTTGCAACAATTCGAAGATTCTCATTCCTATACGTAGTTGTATTCAAATCGAAGACATCAGCAGCTGAACAAAAATACAATATGATAATCATTAAGAACTCTTATCCATGTAAATAATTACAACGAAGATTTGTGGTTGCATACATCGTGCATGGATTGGTTGTATACATTCAAGATACAATTCATTTAGACAACCAGTGGTTCTGTTTTTATGTACATGTTTGATTGAGAAATGAAGTCTGAATTTGCGAACTATTATCCACTCAGTAGCTTAAATGATTATTGATTAAACCGTTTCTGTATTTGATTAATTAGCTGTTGCGTTACAATACTAAAGCAATAACTGTTAGAAGAATCCCAATAATATAATCAAAACAATCTTGAAGATTTGATGTACAATTAACTTAGCAAGCCCAAAATTGTAAGAATATAAAAGAGGATGTGTGATAAATGCGTGTGGACACTATGATAGAATTATTAAACTTCTCTTACTATTTATCTACTGTGCAATTATAGAAATGAAGAAGTCATCAAGGTGTACCTGTAAGATTGAGGAGACTGGTGCTCCCTGGTAGATATGGGTCTCATGTCACCAATCTTCATAGTCATGAACATAACCACTGAATTATTTGAGCAGCAACTGACAACCTGTAGGACTGAGGTATATTTACAACTGGTTAATCACTGATTATTTACCAATGTCAAGTCGTTCTTATAGCAGATTGGATTTAATCGAACAAGTCGTTATGCGGCTACCAGTCTAAGTGACTGGACATCATGTCTACTAGGTTGCCAATTAGCACGAAACCTAGGTCAAACAGGGTTTCCTGTCAACAGCTTCCATTTACCACCTTGAATATCAATATAGTATACGAGATGTCACTTGTACTAATGACCATATTGCAATTTAATTGATAGAATTCAATCAAGAACGAAAGAAAGAATTAATGTGCATGACATTGGTTATCACTCAGTGATCGATTAATTGTAAATGGAAATGAAGGTTCTGTTTTAAATTTACTTTACTTATGTAATTATGGATGTTAACCGCAAGTTCTCACGTAATTATCGTGAAACCAATTACCAAAAAATCCATATAGAAGGATCACCCTTATCTGTTTTTTTTGAGAAATGAAAAGTAAAATGAAAAGAAACTCAAGTATCAAATGCATGCAACCATTTATCATGCCTTTCAAAAAATCTACTTCCACAATTACTATGATGGGCTTAGCAGAGTACTCCAGAAACCCACTGAGTCCCTTCACAGTAACGAAATCCTCGCCAATTTTTTTTTAAAATGATAAACCAATGTGCCATTAAGTGAAATAAACACAGTTCAACTATTGGCTAAGGTGATTATCATTGAAACTGATAAAACTCTACAGAAAAATATATTCACTAAGTATAATTAAGATGATTATCAATGTGAATAGTCAAAAGTTTACCTGCTAAGGCGTAAATTCCATTAGAACAATTTTGTTGACCACGAGCATGAAATTCACCACCCATTGTATGTGTTTTTCCAGATCCTGTTTGACCATAAGCAAAGCATGTGGCCATGCCACGCTGAAATATACATTCTACTAAAGGTTTCGCAGTATACCGATACACCTATATGATATGTAAGCAAATAGAAATAATTATTAACTCTAGTTACAAAAATCTTATTTTTCTTCTATTTATTAGATAAATCTTATTTTATACATATCAGGTCAATTGAACAGGTTTTGTGTTATTTACAAATTAAACATGTGAATAATCTAACAAAATAAAAATTTATCTAACCATGCAAAAATTTTGTTAGATCAATGATTCAAACAAATAATACGATCTGTTGACTTTCAATTACATTAATCCAAAGAAACCAATGCCAGGGAAGTCCTACTCACTGCCTCATCACCACTGGGGTGTTGTTTACGAAATTGAGAGGACGAAAATCGAATGCCCGGCGCTGTAACCGGGTTGCTGGATGTGGAAGATCCATCTAGGAGAGTTGGAAAGCCGTCGTTCCAAATCAACGGTGCACATAGGCTCCAGTATCCTGAAGGAACAAATGGCGTATGAACCAATCGTTGGTCACCGGCTAACATGGAACCGTATCTCCTTACATTGTTCCACTACCTTGTGGATTAGACCTTCAAGTCGAAGGCTCCGGGATTAGCTCAATATGAAAACCACCTGCTTCGGACTGGGCACAAGGGCAGTATCCCAGCCTTCACATAAATCGAATGATTTATGTGGTGCATATCTATTTGGTGCCTCCTTGTACCCATGTTCATGTGTGTAAATAAATAATAAAACAACTCAAGGAAACAGTGATTATGCTAAACAATTTTACAAATATTCATTCGCAATTAACCAATGAGTACATGAACGTAGACGTAAAGGCAAGGATTGCCGAAGCAACAACAGTATTCCTATAGTTGAAGAACATATGGAACTCAAAACAACTGTCAACCAATATCAGTCACAATCTTCAATACGAACATCAGAACAGCCATACTGTACGGAGCTGATACGTGGAGAACCACTACAGCCATCATCAAGAAGGTATGTATGATACTCAATATCCGTTGACCGGATACCATCAGCAATAGCCTACTGTGGGAGAGAACAAACCAGCTTCCAGTTGAAGAGGAAAGTAGGAAAAGACATGGAAATGGATAAGATACACATTGTGGAAATCATCAAACTGCATCATGAGGCAAGTGCTAACTTGGAATCCTAAAGGGAAACGGAAAAGTGGGAGACCAAAGAACACACTACGTCGGGAATCGGAAGCAGACATGGAAAATATAAATAGCAGCTGGAAGCACGTGGAAAGGATTGACCAAGACAGAATTGGATGGAAAGTGACGGTAGGTGGTTTATTCTCCTCCACGAGAGTGACAGGCGTAAGTAAATAAATGTATTATGTGAATTTGAAAGGGGTTAGTAGCTTACTCCATTTTAAGCATCAAAGATGACAACATACAAGAAAATAAAAAGACCTTTTTTACTAACGAATCAACTATTAGAAACATACGTAATGTAACAACAACAACAACAACAAGAAAAATTATTCACACTTAAAATGTCATTAGAAATGTTTTCCTACGTGTTTGAGACTCCTATGTGAAGTCAAGCGTTTTGTGTAGCCACAAAAGCATTTACTTAGATCATTTTTGGCAAAATAAATGGAGTCAGCGTTCATGTACACTATTTTGATAAGTTGACAACTAACTTTGAATTTCAGTTTCTTCTTTTTATCGATGCGAAAGCATAAGGGTTTACATAAGTGATTAAAAAGTAGTTGTAGGCAATCTAGTACACATATGTGTTATCAGTAAATGATAGCTGATGATGACTAGGAACATCCGTGGTTTTTACAAAGCTGTAGAAAGCAGTTCCCATTAACCAATTGAACGACTCTTCTTTGTCCCTAGACACCTGAACCATCTATTGAAATCTCCAACCCATACAGTATCTGTCGAACGCGCTTTGATGATATTTGGTTATAGATGGGATCCATTATTCAGTTCATTTAAGCTGCAATCTGTCGACGTGTAGACGAAAATTGTAAAAAGATATAATCTCCTACATGTTTAATTGATAGAATACGCCTACCACTAAGGATGAGATGAATATGACAGTGATTACTATTATCCAATGATTAGTCAATTTAAAAAATCATTCGTAAAGATTTTTGTTTTGTTGTATTCACAAGTACAGAGGTTTTCTAATCAACTCCAAGACGATTATTAATGTTACCAGTTGAAAATACTAAGAATACAGAACTTACAAGTTCATTATCTGATGTATCATCAAATGCATAATCAAAACGGAATTGTTGATTTTCAAGATATTTCGTTAGATCAACTTTAGTTTTTGGTTCATGGACAAGTACATGTTGTTTATTCGGGACTGTGATCACATCAATTTCACGACGGCCAAGTTCTATTAAAAATATAAATGAAAAAAATTGAAATATTTTTTACAATCAACAATACAATCAGTTTAAAAATAATAGTATTGTGTCTGGTACACAGAACTCTCGACATATTGACAGCTTAACTAATTCTAAGACTTCTATACTTTTCGATACTTGAACTCTAAGTACACTGTAGGTGGAAAATATGAATATGTAATATACAACATATATATGACAATATCTATGAAGTAAACAATGGCTGTGCTTCAGAACGTATCTTCGGTTGTATAAAATGAATATGGAGGCTCAAAATATTAACAAACATTGAGTCATAAAGACAGACATACGTGTGGTCACATTTTATACCTTAACAATCCCTCACAATACTCATCATGTTAAATATGAATCCAAATGACTGATGATCGAACGATAATTCATGTGTTTTTAAAGACAAAACAGTAAAACTTACCTTTTTTGTTCATAGGACGTTTACGTACACAAACACATATTTGATGATCTTCTATTAAATCTGTATTGGTTAAGGGTCTGTATTCCAATGTATTTCGATATTCACTAAAAATAATTAAAAAAACTTTTTGAGCTTAATTATCTACTTGACATCAAATTAACCCTACTTTTCAATGTGCAATAAGGGTAAAATATTCAGCATTATCAAGTACTTTTCTGTTCATTTAGTGGGTGAACATAATTTTTATTGGAGATTTTATTTCAATGATCTAAAGCTGTGAACACATGTATTTTATGAACACACCATTGTAGAGTATCCCAACTTGCCAGATGAAAAAAGCAAGTAAAGTGGAAGTTAGACCTGGAAATGAAATTATCAATGAAAACTATGCTCTTATACTCAATATCTACCAAATAAATGAACTGAAAATGCTAGACACCTCATATGTAATAAACATTAGAAAATGGATGAGTTACAAATTTGAGGACACATATATTATTACAATATTAAACGATATAGAAAGTGAAATTGATATGAAGAATAGTACAACTAACGAAAATACAAGTGAACGTAGAAGATAAATAGATAGAAGGGCAAAAGGATATACGGATGAATGGTGGTGAATTAACAGCTAATCATTGTCAAATAGCTTTTCAGGATGTCAGAATTTGATCTCAAAAAGTTTAAAAATTACAGTCAAACTAATAAGCAGTACTTTTTGCTTTCAGTACTTCAATTAACTGAGAACTCATAATGAAACAATTTCGATATATGATATTATGATTATATGAAAGCAAAACGATGACATATCGACGGCCATTAGTATGAAAAAACACAAATACAACATAACACTTACTGAATCATCATATGAAACTCATAACTAGGATTGGTTGGGTCTAAATCAATTTGATCACGAACTGCTTTCTGGGCAGCACGTCGTTCTTCACGTCGCTGTTGTATTCGCTCGATTTCTTTCACACAATTAGACTTGCGTAGAGTTCCATTACCACCTGCGGCACCAGCGTTAATACCAGGAGCAGTAGTAGGTGAACTTGTATTCAGTGCAGACAATGTACTATTTACAATAGGTGCGCCTAAATTAGAATTTGCGCGACCTAAGTTGAAAGTAACAACCAAAAAAACTTAAACAACTCTACACTGAGAGCATATTGACGTCAAAATGTTTTAATATGGAAAAGTAAACACATATGTACAAGATAGCTCCTAAAGATCAAATAGCATGCATGACGAATTCATATACACAAGCATAATATGAAAATTACAAGATGTGATGTGTACCGGCGCTAAACACTTGTTACTGGAACTTTAACAACCAAAATCAGATGGAGATTTTATTAGAAAGCTTGTTTCAAAAATTCAATCAAACTCGGTCACTGACCAATGTTATAAAATATTGATTCCTTGTCTATCAAAACCTTCAATTGTCGGTGAAATAACATAGCAAACTGGGTTCATTTAAGTCCCACTAAAAGTTCTTATTTTAAAAAAAATTTATTAACTAATTGCGTTTTTCTTACTTATTTGAAAACATTTTGACTGAGATGATTTTGAAATTTCTTCTTACTTATTATTACGTTACATTTCAATCGCTAACTTCCCATCCCCTCTGGTAGTAAGCAATACATCAACACCTTGTATTTTCCCTTTACATTACAACTAGATTGGCGGTAACAAAATGTACTTCATAATCTTAGCGTCATAGTGTTCGTTAGGTGTTGGTTTTCTATAATAACCGATATGACAACTAATTTAAGCACAATATAGAAATAACTGAGGTAACCAAATTGGTGATTTTCTTTACGAGATTAATGCTTAAATTTCAATTGCATTAATTTTAGAAAATGAACCCCCTAAGTTAACTGACTAACTCCGCGCGGAGCCCCTCTGAGGTTACTGCCGACCCTAAGCCCTGAAAAAGGAGGGTTGGGCATGGCGTTAGCGACCCCATCCCGTAGAAAACTAACTAGCTAAAAAACGCTAACCGGAAAAAATAAATCAAGTTAACTGACTGGACATATAATATTGAGAAATTAGAACTCTCATTAATATACCAAGTATTATGCCATAATAGAGTGACTACGAGCTATTTATAAGATAAAAAATGACCAATCGAAAATGAGATTGAAGACAATCAAAGTGATTAGTGACTCTTCATTTCATCCAGTAATTTTTACTGAGTATACAATTTGCACTGTGCATCAACGGTCATCAAAACTTAATCATGCCAATGTTTGTAAATGTGAAAAAAAAATAAGAAGTTATAATCTGACATGTTCTTTTTATTTCAATGTTTCGTACCTATCAGACGGCGAGAAGCATCACCTGCAAAGCCACGGTTCCCATTGATTATTCCTGATTGAAGGTTATCTTCAATTACATCACCGATATCCTGTTCCATCCGTTCAGTGAGTAAAGTATTATTTTCAGGTTCCCGTAACATACTGGTCACATGATTATAATCATTGTGGTCCAGTTGAACAGATTCTGATGGTTCCAGATCTTCATCCATTGGCTCATCAGAAATTGCACGATGTTGATGTACATTATAACGGAATCCTAATTATATGAATGTAAAACATAGGCGTAATATAAACAAATATAAAGGTCTGAACAAAATGAAATGTCATGTATGGATACCTGCACAGGTTGTCATACTTCATAGATTATGAGGAAAATTTACTCGAGTTTTTTTTTAAATGGATACACTTGCTCTAGTGCGACTAGTTTTTACAGATGGTGATTACTTTGTGAACCTCAACCTTTTTCTAGCACACCCTAAAGCGAGCACGTCAGAGTAGTTGGCAGGTAGATACGTATGGCACATGTCCCAATGATCTCAGTCGATCAAGATTTACAACTTCACTAACCGACTAAACGTCACTACCTAGTACTCCATATTTAACCTTAGCATTAGTTACTCGGGGATTTCACCTGGCGCTAGGAATGCTCCTAAAATACTAACCAATCTTTACTTTAAAAATTCATATTTTCCAACCGTAAAGTAAAAAATGAGTTGAAACATATGTTTTACATACTAATTAATAATCAGATACACATCTCACTTGTGTCATAAGTTAGCAGAAGCCAATTGAGTTTTTATTACCAGTCTCGTGATGGCATTAGTTACTAATTCGCAATCAACTAGCACTTTATATTTTACTTAAATAAAAATGTTTGTCTGTTATTTAACCTGCACAAATTTATGAAACAATCTCAGCATAAACAATATCGACTTTATACATACTAAATAAATCTATATTCCGCAGTGATAATGTGAAATAATAATGAGAGTATGACTAATAGCATTGTGCAATAAATGTTTCATCTGTAGGTGTATAATATGTAGGCAACACAAATGGTAAAGATTTTTAAGAATGATAAAAAGGAACAATATCTTCACAGGAATGATATACAATGGTAAAGAATGAAACATTACGATGTCAGTGAGATAGTATTTACATTTACTAATAATGTATGTCTAGTATTGATTGGATCACGTATATTTAAGCATGAAAAATAGGAAAGACTTATAGTGTAGATTTGTGTCGAATAAAATCTTGAATTCATGAGTCAAGTGAAACTAGACCACCATCAAAAACCTGAAAGCACTGGACGGTCGTTTCATCTTAGTATATGACTCAGTAGCGCGCATCCACGATCCCGACCCGCGAGATTCCAACCCAGGACCTATCAGTTTCGCGTGTGAACGCTTGATCTTTAGACCACTGAGCCGCTACCCAGCGGTGTTAATGTCTAACTTCAATTATAAATTTCCGAGATGACAATTTCGTGAAACATGTTATGGTTATACTTTACAACAGTAAATCTATGTTTATTTAGATGTGAGGTTGTAGGTTTTAAACGTCTTTACTTCGAAATCAATTTGAGTAACAGTTTATGATTGAAAGATGAATACATAGGTCTGTACTTGGTTAATGAGTTGCATCAATCAGTCAACTAATTACTTAATTAGATTCTTCACAACGAGATATCTAGCTTTCTACTAATAAATACAATGATATTTTAAGTTTAAGAACTATTTCCCTAATTCTAAACTTTGTTGAAGTGAATTTAATGTGTGCATGCATCAATAACAAATAACCACTTTTAATTTCAGGTTACTCATCACAAAAGGAACCTAAATGTATGTTGCCAGTGTGAATTAAACGGATTTACTTTTTTCCAACCAATCACAAAGTACTTCAAATTCCTAGATAACACAGTAACCGACACTTCAGACAGTAGTGACAGACAGAAGCAGTAGCAATAAAGAAACACAAACCTGAATTGTGTCCCGAAAGAGACAGTAATCAACTTATTCCTACCTTGGTAAATCTTTTTTTGTTGTCGTTGTTATTATTATGATTACTGGTGTTTATTTTGTTATAACATCTTCGCTAAACTAATTCTTATTCTACATAAACTAAGATCATCCCTTCATCCATCGGTTTTCTCATTCACTTGATTCTCTAAACTTATGTAAGCTATTCGAATGCTCTTCAATCATTACGCAACCCATTCGGTCAATTTCTGATTCCAGACAATTACTAATTCATAACCAGGTGCCTTCTATGTCTATTTTTACGTGATTTGAGTCTGAAGTAAACTCTTTGCAAATTCGATAAATATCACAGAATTTAACTGTTTCTAGACTTCATTTAATCGGTGCAAAATGTAACTAGAGAATCTTAGGCGCGCTTAACATGCCAGATTCTAAAGAATTACAGTTTATACACACATCTTCAAAATTTAATAAATAGATATCGTCATTTTATGGCTTTTAAGTGTTTGAACCGATGATTTTAGTTAAGCCTTTCAGTCGTACAAAAGTATAAGTGATTGCTAGGCTCCTACACAAAACTAAATTAATATAAACTTGTTACCACATAGTGAAATAAAACTGATATTAGATAAACTACTCTGTAAGGTCTTAGTTCTTTCATACATGGAATTACCCAACAAACGAACTTTAAATTATTTCCCAAATCATGCTTATAAGGGAAAAAACAAACCTTCATTGTGAGTGTGACTAATATCCACAGAATTATGTACCGGGAGAGGAGCTTGAGATCGAGAAGAGTTATTTGTACGGTCATCATAGGCAGATATTGTTGTAGAGCGAGTGGGAACATGGCCAATAGGCACACGAGAAGACGGGACAGGAACGCGTGTTGATGGGGCAATCAAACGAGATTGATTACTAGATGAGTATTCTATTTGAGTGGCGTTAACTTTGTTACTAGATGGAGCGAGAACAGAAGCAGCAGCCGCCACAGGGACAGAATTTTGAGACTGCCGTATATCAGTAGGAAGATTGACTCCGGGACGGTGTGAGGAATTCGGAACTTCTTTAACTAAATTGTTTCGACTGATATCAGCATTCCCATAAACATTATCTACGATGGGCTAAAAATTTAATTTGCAGTTGATATGGAAAAAATTATATCATTTGACTACCAATTCCAAATTCGTAAAAGCATATATTTATACTGAAATTGTAAAAACCAATACACCTGTAATTAAATTATTTGTTTAGCATAACTGCTAGTTAATGTATGGTCCCTCCTAATCCCACTATGAAGCAACTATTATTGACTTCTCATTTTAAAGAAAACGAGGCTACACGTTATGCAGCAGCTCGGCTACAGAATTGACAAGAACGAACCCAACATAAAACAGCTTACAACCGTATTTACATTTTACCTTCAATAACTCTGACCAAACAATTAAGAAGATGGGAGAAATCAGGAGTAACTGCGTGACAGCAAAAGAGTGAATTTGTGAAGGTGATCTTGTGAATCGACCATCTATACTCTTGAAGAAACGAACTATAATCAACATTACTTCCTATGCGTAAGATAGGATCAACTACCAACGGGTTACAATAACTTAAGTGAACTTATGGGTTTCATTACGAAAATGATAATCATAAAGAAGTACGTAGATGTTTATTTTTTAGGGGCTTACAAATATCATTCAACAGTATTTCTTTCATTAAGAAAGACACTATAAGAATTTGTAACCGAGAAAACTCCGCGCTATTAGATCTTAGTTCAGTGTCTGACACCTGGTTTCAATAACATCGTTAAATGAAACTTGCTCACAGTGATACATACGTTGTTGCTATTACATCCCATCCAGACGCCGGTACTCACCAAAAATCTACAGGTTGATATCTGGCAGTCCCTGAAAACGGACGAATCCGGTTAATGCAAGTAAGTACTACCGAAGTGCCTGAAGATTTCGACTAAGTAAATACTATGTCATTGACTTTTAATGTTAAGAGAAAAGATGTACTCAGTGCAAAACCTTAGATAAAAATGACCTACACATGAATATCTTAAATTCGGGTTCAATTGAAGTATTGCTTCCAATTCTATCTGAACAACGAAAAAAATAAAACCAAGAAATTGGATGACTATAAGAATCATTCACACAATCAATTTTACTAACAATAATAAAATGAAGGACTGAGAAAGCAATCACTAGTGTTGTTTTTTACTTCTACATAGTGCAAATAACATAATTATATATGCCTAAACGGCTACACAGGATTCCATCGTCCTTTTCAATATGATCGTTTCTCATGCCCGATCTTTGGGTGATTTTATACACTACAAAACTAAATTAGCTCATTATTGGCATTAGCAAAGCAGACTGTAGATATCTTAAGAGCAATATCAACGTTATCTTACTAACAATCGATAAGTGACATTTAGATCCCCGTGTTTGCGAATCAGCATATATACGAGTGATCATTTGTTATTGAATCTAAATAGATTAGTAAACAGATAGCTAAACTCTTAGATTACTACCCTCATTAGGAAACCTTTTGAACTTGCCCTGATCTGCATTACTTAAATTGAAATCATTCTCAGACTAACTGATTATTAGGATTACGATTAGTAAGACCTAGAACTATGTCCAAGTCCATAAATCTTAAAAGACTATCAGTGGGCTTAGAATTTAAGCAGAGATCTTAGACTTGCAAAATCGTCAGTGACATAAAAATGTACATATAATCACGACTAGTGGCTGGAGATTGAATGGAATGATTTGGAATGCGTCACAATGGTCCAGTTCCATTAACTCGTTATCTTGATCTCTCCTTAAATTCAAGTATTCTTTCATACATACCTTTACATCATCTTTTCGAATTATATTCTCACTGCTTATTCGTTCTCATTTTCGCTGCTACTAAATTATTTTGACCTCTTGCTATTCGTTCTGTTCACTTCATTGAGTAGTGCTAACATGGTACAGTCACTTAAGGCAACACGCACCTGTACCAGGCCATGCTGACGTCTACGTTAACAATGACTCACTGACTAACCAGTAATATTCGTCATTGATTATTTACTTAGAAATACAGCTATTTTCAGTTAATCAATCCTAGTTATGACAAAAGTTTGTTGCATCACTGTCCGTTTAAGAACAGAGTTAACTGCAATGTTAAAACAGAGCACCAAATCAGTTAATACCGTACTAACCTCCTTTCCTTTAGCTTCTCCTTTTTCATACCATTCTACTGTCACACTTTTTGTGTTGGGATTAATACCACTCACAATAGCCGAATGTACACGACCTAGGCACAAAAGTCATGAAAACAACACCTGTAAAGAACTTTACGCATGAGGTGTTTAGACCAAAGAATATACATAACTCGTGGAAATTATGTACAATGAAAAAAAAATAACAACACATGATAATTCATTAGTCAACTTATTTTTTAGATGATAAACTGGATCAAATCCCAAATTTAACCTCATTACGAATAGCTAGCCGGGTTGACCACGACACACGTCATGATGCACGTCAACTACCAAACTTTTTGAAGGAATAATACTTAATTGATGGTTATTCACCGAGTTAGTCCATAAAATTAGTATGATGTACATTACCTGCATTCATCATATGTACGTAGAAAACCCTCGTCTCACCACTACTCGCTTTCAGTAATTAATAAGGCCAGAACAACGAGCCCCATTAAAAACTCATTTAATTTCGTGGTTTCTCCTCAGGTGTTTAAATCTGTGCTTTTATAATAGAATACTAGGTAACAAACACTAGTCACCAGTGTTTTCCTAGGTTTGCTAAAATTTATCAAGATAATTAGATGTTTGAGCTAAGTTAAAATTTGGTGAGTTGTAGCTTACAGAGTGAACACACGCCTGCACAATGGATAACTGGCGGCTCTTGAGAGCCAGTGGTATTAAAGACCGAAACCACTTTTCTGTGTGTAAATAATACTGGGAACATGATGGGTGTTATGTACTCGGTACTTTGTTAGAGGCAACACCCAGTCGTATAATCTGGGTATAATTTAAGCCTGAGACCCGTAAGCTGGAAACAGATTGCTCCACCAACATGGAGTGCCAATTTAAAAACTTGGAGTAGGGAATTATTTCCAAGGACCTACGGAAAACACTCCAACGAGAATGTAAAGACTACTGGACAACCGACTTTGTCATCTTGGCAATGCAGCACCTCTACTAGTAATAACCCACAAAAACAATGCTTAACATGTCACCAGGAAATTTATTTGAAATCTTCCAACCGACTTAGAAGTAATATATATTTTGGAATCAATGAAGCATTACTTCGAAAATTATGAAGCACATTCTATACTCATACAGTTCTAGATTTTTTTAGAGCAAGATATTCAAACATCTTAGACATTCACACATTGTCTTACGAGTTCCGAAGACACTGGACATACAATCCTCTCGTTTCGATAGTCAAAACTGTTTACTATACCCGATATGGACGAAGTATTTATGGGCACAATTCCTCACACTAGACTTGATGTACTCACCATCTGTTCTCTGTATATCTACATTTATTCCAACAGCTAGAACGCCACCATCATAATCCGCCATATTTCATTGGTGCATAAGACCACAAGAATCAGGAGACCCCCTCAGATCCATTCAAACTCGAGCTAAGTTACGCAAAGTCCAGATCAGTACAACAAGACACGATGCTATGGTGACTACGTAGTAAGTACCAGAAGTACACTTTATTGTTGATTTTCTAATTAATGCGTTTGAAAAAGGCTAAATTTATGGTCTTAGTTACAAAATGTATCAATGGCGCGACTTTTGAAGCTAGTGGTTGTAACAATGCATGCTTTTATTAGTCTCATGACCTAGTAACCTGGTCGGTTATTTTACTACGTTTTTGAATAAGAATCATGTATCTTTATCTTCAGGCGTGATATTTCTTCAGCACTACGAATAATTTCACTGTAGAGAGCAATCAAAGTTCTTGTCTCGTTGATACTCTGCACATACATCTTTAGGAGGCAAAAATCCTGACCGGTAATTGCCATCGTCTGTCCACATAAATTTCAAGATAAGTTTTTTCCAGGTTATGATGTTAGGCAGGTTCAGCAGTTAAGTGTCGGTGGAAAAACATCTGAGACTTCTCATAGGATCGTGCTTACTTACTTACTTACGTCTGTTACTCCCAATGGAGCATAGGCCGCCGACCAGCATTCTCCAACCCACTCTGTCCTGGGCCTTCCTCTCTAGTTCTATCCAATCGTTGTTCATTTTTCTCGCGTCTATCTCCATTTCTCGGTGTAATGTTTTCTTTCGTCTTCCTCTTCTCCTTTGACATTGAGGATTCCAAGTGAGGGCTTGTCTTGTGACGCAGTTGGGTGCTTTCCTCAATGTGTGTCCTATCCACTTCCAGTGCTTCTTCCTGATTTCTTCCTCCACTGGAATCTGGTTTGTTCTCTCCCACAGGAGGTTGTTGCTAATAGTGTCCGGCCAACGGATCTGATGTATTTTGCGTAAACAACTGTTAATAAACACCTGTATTTTCTGGATGTTAGCTTTCGTAGTTCTCCAGTTTTCCACCCCATACAGTAGAACTGCATTGAAATTTGTATCTAAAATCCTGACCTTGGTGTTGGTTGACAGTTGCTTTGAGTTCCAGATGCTCCTCAGTCGTAAATATGCTGCTCTTGCTTTGCCGATTCGCGCCTTCACATCTGCATCAGGTCCACCGTGCTCATCAATGATGCTGCCCAAATATCCAAAGGTTTTTACATCTTCCAAATCTTCTCCGTCAATTGTGATTGGCTTGGTGCGTTCTGTGTTGTATCGGAGAATCCTGCTTTTCCCTTTGTGTATATTGAGACCTATTGCTGCTGAGGCTGCTGCCACACTGGTCGTCTTCTCCTGCATCTGTTGTTGCGTTTGGGATAGAAGGGCCAGATCGTCTGCGAAGTCTAGATCATCCAACGGCATCTTAGATGCCCATTGTATCTCGCGCTTTCCTTCAGACGTTGACGTCTTCATGATCCAGTCGATCACCAGGAGAAAGAGAGAGGTTGAGAGTAAGCAACCTTGCTTAACACCGGTCTTCACTTCGAACGACTTTGTCAACTGTCCTGCATGCACGATTTTGCAGTTTAATCTATCATATGAGTTCTGTATGATATTGACTATCTTCTGAGGCACGCCGTAGTGTCGAAGAAGTTTCCATAGTGTTGTTCTATCCACGCTATCAAATGCCTTTTCGTAGTCAATGAAGTTGGTGTAGAGTGATGAATTCCATTCAATTGATTGATCCGTAGAGTTGCGATTTGGTCTGTACACGATCTATTCTTACGGAATCCTGCCTGTTGGTCACGAAGTTGGGCGTCTGCACAGTCCTTCATCCTGTTTAACAATACCCTGTTGAAGACTTTTCCTGGTATTGAGAGAAGAGTGATGCCCCTGCAGTTATCATAGTTGCTGAGATCGTTTTTTTTTGGTATTTTGGTCAGGAGTCCTTCTTTCCAGTCTGTTGGTACTTGTTCCTCATCCCAAATCTTGCTGAAGAGAATGTGGAGTATCCTTGAAGTTGCCGCTATGTCTGTTTTTAGTGCCTCTGCTGGAATGTTGTCTTGTCCTGCTGCTTTGCCACTCTTGATTTGCCTGATGGCCATGCTGATTTCTTAAATCGTTGGTGGGCCAACATCGATTGGGAGGTCCGTGGGTGCTGCTTCGATGCTGGGTGGGTTCAGTGGAGTTGGTCGATTGAAGAGTTCTTTGAAGTGTTCTACCCACCTGTTTTGTTGCTCTTCAATGTTGGTGATTACCTCGCCTTCCTTGCTTTTCACTGGTCGCTCTGGTTTACGGTGATTTACAGAGCGTTTCTTTGTTATGTCATAACAGTTCTCTCATGTTTCCTACCCCTGCAGCCTTTTCCGCCGTCGTTGCTAAATCTTCCACATATTTACGTTTGTCGGTTCTGATGCTCCTCTTCACTTGTTTGTTTACTTCTGTTAATTCAGCTTGTGCCTTGTCTTTTTCTGCTCTTGTTCGACTGGTATTGATTGCTGCCTTCTTGTTCCTTCTTCCTTGAATTTTATCCAGTGTATCAACAGTGATCCATTCCTAGTGATGGTACTTCTTGTGACCCAGGACCTCATGACATGTTGAAGTGATTGCCTCTTTGATCTCCTTCCAGTTGCTCTCCACAGTAGTTCCTTCTCCATTGAGTAGATCATGAAAGGCCTGGAACTTGTTGCTCAGGATTATCTTCAATTTGTTGAGTTTGTTAGTATCCTGGAGAAAGGCCGTATTGAACTTTTGTGATATTGTCCGCCCCGTTGTCCAGTGCTTCTTGAGTTTCAATTTCATCTTGGCGACCAGCAAGTGATGATCTGATGCTATATCAGCTCCTCTCTTGGTTCTCACGTCCTCTATAGTCCTTCTGAACGTTTTGTTGATGCAAATATGGTCGATTTGGTTTTGTGTAGAGTGATCCGGTGAAGTCCATGTGGTTTTGTGTATGCGTTTATGTGGGAATATGGTGCCGCCTATGACCAGCTTATTGAAGACACATAGATTTGCAAATCTCTCACCATTCTCGTTTCTTTCTCCCAGTCCGTGTCGTCCCATGATGTCTTCATATCCAGTGTTGTCCATTCCAACCCTGGCGTTGAAATCTCCCATCAGAATGGTCAGGTCCTTTGTAAGGCACTTCTCGACGATTGACTGCAGCCTATTGTAAAATTGATCTTTAGCGTCTTCATTGTGGTCGTTGGTAGGCGCATAGCATTGGATGATGTTCATTGAAATGCCCTCTTTCTTTGTGTTGAACGAGGCTTTGATGATCCTTGGTCTATGAGATTCCCATCCTATAAGCGCATCTTGCGCTTGTTTGGACAGCATCAATGCAACTCCTTGTGTATGTGGTGCATTTTCTTCTTCATGGCCGGAGTATAACAGGGGCTCTCCTGTAGTTAGTCGTTGTCCAACTTGTGTCCAATGTGTTTCACTGATCCCAAGTACCTCCAGGTTGTATCTTCTCATTTCTGCAGCAATTTGGAAGGCTCTCCCGGTGTCCCACATTGTACGAACATTCCATGTACCTAAATAAATGGTCGCTCTGGTTGTCAGAAGGGGCATCGGCCTCGTAACTTCCGAAGGAATTCGGCTTTCATCATGAGGCGTCATAATTTTTATAATGAAGACCTTCTGACTCAAGGGGCAGAGTTTAAAAGGTTTGAATAATTTTTTCTGGTTAGCGTTTTATTAGCGAGCTGGTTTTCTACGGGATGGGGTCGCTAACCCCATGCCCAACCCTCCCCCTTTATCCGGGCTTCGGACCGGCAGTAGCCCCCGGAGGGACTCCAGGCGGAGTTTCATAGGATCGTAGCCTCAAGTTTTCAATACTTAAAGTTATTCCCACACCTCAAATCAAATCTAGTGTGTGCTTACAAAAATATAACAAACCGAATAGAAACGAAGACTTCCTATCAGTGGTAGCGATGACTTCAAGTTATTTAGAAAATGTGTCAGATGCACCATATCTGATGTCACTGTCCTCCTGATGGCAGTAGCCTGTGCTTGTTAAGATAATTCACCACTAATGTCACATTTATGCTGTGCTGTCATCAAGATAGCTTTAAGGCACGAACACCATGAGAGTGAAATTCGTGTCAGGTATTAACCACGAGGTGTGACTTTGGACGTAAGTCCAAAGGTCACGCTATTCTCGTCCAGCTTGAGTATACGCCAAGCAAGAGATGTTTTCTTTCGTGAGACTTTTGATGGACACACTTGTGCTTACCGATAATATTGTTGGAAATTTTGTCACTGAAACCCATAATACTGATTTCTGGACCACATCCTGTATTCCCAGATTACACTTTGACTTAAGTAGATGAAAAGAAACTAACTTCAAGGTTAGATATGTACAAAGGCTGATTCACCTTATGTAGTTTTATTTGGCGTCAGTCTTTAAGAGCTATCTGCAAACGTGGGAAATGTGGCAGTGGTATAGTTAATTAGTCCATCAAGAATGTGACATGGTCCTTCATTTTTCTAAACCCTCTCGAAGGTTTAATGTCATTCCACAGACACGATAAGTGTATTTACAATACCGCACAAGCGATATGTACTGCCTGAATAACTCATTTGAAAAATTTGCTAGCAGAAGGGGAATTAGATTATCTGTCTCTCCTGGGACCTAATCCCTATGTTAGGGGTAATGAAAGTACTGATGAAGTCTATTATGCGCTACCAACAGCGAGACGATTCAGATCAAGTAAACACCAAGTGCTTCTACTCAATTTTAAATGATTACAATTGAAACTAATTGCAAACAATTAAGCCGTCAATTTTATCTTTATGTAAAGGTCAGTATGAGATATAATACGAAGCTTATTGAGTGAAATAAACTATCAGCGAATGTATATAAATGGAAGAAATTTCCATGGATACTTGCTTCTCCATTGGTTGCAGGCATTATATTTACTATTTATTTCTGCTGAACAACTGTCATTCACCTATGTGCAAAACCTCCGGACCGCTTACTTCCTAGCGTATTCAAAACTTGCGCGATATGGGATAGGCATAGTTTTTCTTCTCGCTTACTG